GACGCCGACGTCGTCGCCGCTGGCAGACACGCGGGGTCCGCAGTGTGACGTCAGAGCTCAATAGGCGCCGCGTCAGTAGCGCGTTCGACGCTTTTCAGTGGGTCCGCGCCCGTCCAGCAGTGCGTTTGTAGTGAAAGGTCCAAAGATAGCTGCCACCATATGAGTTTCTGCATTTAACACCAATTTTACCCCGGATTATCATCTCTCTGCCGAGGGCCAGCCACCATGGGGGAGGTACGTTTGCTTGTAGCTCTTAGTGCTCTTTTCCGCATTTTGTTCGGCGTCTTTGGTGGGTGTCCTGGCCCGGTCGGCGTCGATATCGATCTTCTCCTGCATATTTCTATAATTCGGCTATTGTGTAATTGTGGATCCATGCAAGCTGTTTTCTATTAATTGTTATCTAATTGCCTAACCAATTCCCAGTTGGCTGATGGTTTTGGGGGAGTTCTTCAACTCAACCCCAAGAATATTTAAGCTGGGGCTGGTTAAAACGACATTTCAACACGCTATGGATTTCAGGCAGAGGGGTTTCATATGTTGGGCATTCAAAGTTCCAGAAAAAATCCATATCAGTCTTGCGCCCTGCTGGTACATGGGCATGACCCAATTACAACCTTGAACTTTCGTCTTTTGTCTTCTATTGGGCAAACGTCCATTTCAAACGAAACCCATCAGGGAGGTTTCGTACAAGAATGGACCGCCCCTATTGAATCACCCAAGAATTTGTTAATTTCTTTTAGTCGATGTCTGCAGGATGATTTGCAGTAGGTACTACTGTCTCCTCAATGTTTATAACCGCATCCACTGTCTTAGTAAATCAGTGTGTTTTTTACATTTTCTTCAGCGCCAGATTATCAAAAAAGTAGGCTTTTGCGGCCTTTGCTTGAAACTGGTGAGTTTTTCTGGCCTAAAACGTCCAACAAAACTTGCTTTTGTGCTTGCGAAACGTCAGCAAGAAATTGCATACCACTTCGGACCAAAAGGGGGAAAACCCTCATCAGTTTGAGGTCGTTTTTTCTTCATTTTCCGGTTGATTTCAGTCATGCGTTTCTTCTAGTTTTAGTGCAAATGCAAACGAGAACCTTAAACGCGCTTGAAAAATTCTGGGATGCAAGATCTAGCTGTTTGTTTGCATTGATATTATTGAATAAATTCAGGTTTTCTTGGGGTCGTTTGTGCAAATTTCGGGCCCTTTATGAAGCAAAAGGGTGATGTAATTTCGGCAACGGAACGCCCAATACTTAAAGGTTTGACCGATATTTCAGGATATTGAGTGGAAGTTTGGCACGCCCCTAGAGTACGCCCCAAACCATTTTCGAATATCGCGCGTTCAAGTGCCAGATTTGTTGAATTTTATTGTGGGTTTATAAAGTTGACGATCAAAGTAGGGCTTCGTTTTCCATTCAGGTGTCTGAAGATGGAAGACGTTAAATCTCCGAAACAGTTGAACATAGCGCATTAGTTGTAAAGATCTTTCTGACGGGCAACGGCGGACTTAGAGACTTTTCGTTAGCACAATTAGAGCACTATATTTTCCGAATTCAGCTTTATCAGATATTCCTTATAGTTTCAAAGTACAAAATCGAAAAATAAGTTATCGGACAAATCATGTTCAATTTTTCGACACATTTGCGCAAAAAGTTAAATTAATTGTTCAATGAAAAATTCGAATAAGAAGCGGCGGAAAGTACCTATATGAATATCGATAAAAAAATTAAACATAATACACAAATTCAAATGAGCTTTTTATAATCTCGCTTGAAAGAGAAAATGAATTAAGAAAGAAGAGCATAAACAGGTAATATTTTAATTGAAACTTTAATTAAAATTCACACTTGGGCAAGTGGATGTAGAAAAAGATATAAACTATTATACAGGGTGGTTGTTAACGAATATGACAAAATGCACTGATAAATTGTTTATGTAAAAATATCGCGTTTCGGGAACATTTATTCCAAAAGTTAATAGATTCCGAGATATAAGATATAGATACAGGGTGTCAAAGTGGAAATAACATTTTCGTTTTTTTCTAAAAGATTCTTAACCAGTTTTACTATGACCATAAACATTTGCATTGGGGATTTTTTTAGATCGATGAATCAACATTAAAATAAAATAAATTTAATTAAGTTTAAAAATATCGCTTTATGTTGACAATATCTTGTTTTGCGATATTTCCTAAACAAAAAATGTGTACTTGTTCCAAATCGGAATCTCTCGGAAAGAAGTATTTATCTCAAATAATAAAAAAAAACTTGAAGCAAACATGAAACGGTATTGATTTAGGCACTTTAAGAAATATTTTAAATTCAGTAAAGTCTAAAATAATTTTCAAATTCTTTTGCGTTTCGTTGAAATTGACAAATTTCAAATATTCAAAAACAAATAAGGACTTTTTAGATGAAAATGTTTGCGAAATATATTTCGCTCATTATGTTTCTTCAGAATTTTCGTGATAGAAGATAGAAGAAAAAATAAGCAAACCGGAACATTTAGAGCATTTATATGCTATATGAAAACAGTCGAAAATATATCGAGTCCTAAAATCCCTTTCTATTCCTCCTCAGGGCTCAAGCTGAATGCTGAATTTTCATGGGGTGAATAATTGAAGATTTTCTTTTATATCTCGGGAAAAGTGGAAAATCATTAGAATCAGAGTGGTTCAAGTCGAACTTCGTTTGTTTTATTTCTTGCAGATTATATATCAAGTTTTTTGTTGTTGCTAAAACTTTACACCCGAAAAACATTTCACTAAAATTTAAGTACCTACCTAGAGTATTTCAATTAAAAACTTGTCCATTTGGTGTCACTGAAAATTTAGACTCGCATAAAAAATTATTGGGAATGAAAGTAGGTTTGGGTGCCGACTATTTATGTATGCCAATTTTTAGCCACCCTAAAAGTGCTAAAAGAAAAAATTGAATTGCCCAAACAAATAGGAATACAAAACAGAATTTTATCAAAAAAACACGGACACCAAATGTATGGTTTTCACTAGTGAAAATGTGTCCATCTTAGCATTATGGGTAGGAACTCGATGCACACAAAAGCATGACATGGAAATGGATATTACGCTTATTATCCAATAATAAATTAGTCAACCACTTATCCACAGAATTGTGATAAACATTTGAGCAAACGTACAGGTTGCGATTATTAGCATATTCGGTTATGAGCAGTTTTATGTGTGGCTGAGAACTAAGCACAATTGAACCATCGCTGCAAACAACAAGAGCACAATTATCACAATTATTTTATTTATGAACTTACCTTGAAACAAGGCTACATTTCCAGTCCATCAGCGTGTGATTTTGTTTACTGGCTTTATCAGTTTTAATTAAAAAAGGTTATGCAATTTTGGATAAAATAATTGAAAATTGTTAGCGGTTTTTCTTCAGAGACCGGAAATTTATTTTGGAAAACGATTTTTGGCGAGACAAACGTAAATTTGTTAATGTTTTTGATCCTGCAAGGAAAGATTGCATTTAAGTGGCTCTAATTTTTTGGACACCGTTGTAATGATGATGAACCATGATTTCATTTGTTTCCTTATTAATATTGTGCAAAAACGGTATACTTGGTCGAAAGCTCTCAGACCAACCGGTTTCGATATATCGGCAGTCAAAAATCGAAATGTAGGTCTTCAATTTTTTTCAAACATCCTTTTTTTTTAGACGCTTTGGATTCATTTTTTCCAGATAATTTAAAGAAAATCTACTATAAACAAGCGAGAACTACTGTTGCAGAAAAAACGATCCTCGAAAAATTGCACACTAATTTTCCGACACCCTGTGCATGTCGGCTACTAAAGGTACTTTTACGGAGATTGTTTTTTTTTTTGAAGGTACACGACGTGAGCGCTAATGCGCTGCTCAGCTTGAAAAATCTTAAAAACAGTTCGCTTTAAATATAGTTTGGTGGTAAATGTTTAATTCGCTTTATTTTGGCGTAAAAAGTTTAGAATAGCGTCGAATATATAACTTAAACATTCATGCTCTTAGCGCGGCTGAAAATGCTTTAGATGAGGTTTTGAATGCAAACCAGTGACTTGTTTTACATAGTCTAGCATAGTCTTAATCATTAACCATGTGGTACAACCCAGTCATTATGGCACTGTCTTTTTATTTCCTTCAAGAGTGTTCGTTAATTTTTTTGAATATTCCGATCTAAAATGATACGCATTGTAATCGAAACGCTACGGTTCATTTAGTTCTTCACCGACGGCATCGATTTCTTCCATGGTATCACATTAGATCGGACTCTACAGGGTTATTTTACAACTGCAAAAGCTTTAATTATTGTAGTTATTCGATATTTGGAAATGGATTATTGTGTGTAGCGGTTTGATTTGAATGTCAAAGCCATTAGCCGTTTTTATTATGGTTGCCAGACATTTCCAGTTCATGTTTATCTGGGGAAATCGTTGCCAAAGTCCACATGGAATTACCCTTCCTCATTCTTACATGGAAAGTTATGCGTTGTTGATTTTCTGCCAAAAATATCGGATGTTAAACGGATATGTATACATTTTCTGTTTAAAAATGTCGTATATACACAGTGGTCCATTTTAACCGTAAAGCCATCTAAAAGATCTGGTAAGTAGCAGTTGTTTAATAACCCTGTGTTGTATCTTTAGTTTAGAGTTACCAGTCACTAGAGTTGTTTTCGGTGCATGGCGCCTTCATTCTCTTCAGAATATTTAATTTCTTGAATATTCGCAACAATTTTTAGACTGACTCATCTATCATTATTTCGCGTCAGCTACAGCTTCTTCTCTCCTAAGGAGTTGAGAAGCGTGTAGCTGATACATTCATGCTCGAAGTCGCACTCAGCGCTAAGCTACGGTTTACACGGTGTGCAACGTTGGCTGTAAATTAGCTGAGGCGGTAGCTTAGCGTTGTAGTGGCGACGACAGCTGCGAGATCTTCAGCGCAAGGTTGGTGATGGTTCATTGCAATATTGCTCGATTTTAGCTTAGCTAGATTGTGCTTGTTTTACAGCATGGCCGCTCTGATTCGTACCGGGTCGCTACCGTTCCAACCAATTACGACGACAACAAAACAGCCGACGGCCAACCAAAGGTATTTTTTGCACACAGTGTGGTATTCTGGTGGTGGTTTTGAGTTTACATTTTATATGTACAGAGTGTCAAAGAAAATCGAAAACAAAAAGTGGAGAAAGAACACGAAGTTTTCTTTTGGGTCACCGAGCGCCTATTTAGGCGTAGGCTGGGTATTTTTTTAATTACTTTATACAATTTTTTTAATAGAAACCAGCTTGTTTGTTTCTTTAACGGGATTTGGACAGATATAAAAACAGTCTGTAGATTTCTAAAAATATTGGCAAATAAATCCAGCTTTTGCTTTCATATCTATCCAAATCGCGTTAGAGAAAAACACTGCTGAGTTTTTATAGAAAACAGAAACTAGTCGAATCTATAATCTCAAAAAGTATATAGTCTTGTTTGACGAACACCCTTTATGAAGGGGACTGGAATTTTTTTTGGTACACTGTACTATTTTTTCATTTGTTATCTGTTTCCATCAGCTCAAGAGTGGGGAGCAGACGATGTGAAAGCGTAGAAAAATCGATTGTGAAGAAGAAACGAAAATCTTCCCTTACGCATAAACTCAGTTAGTTTTTCCATTTTTTCTCAACGTTTCCCCTGCAGGAGTGATTACCATTTTCAGGGGCGATAATTTGTTGCTTTGTGCTCATATCACATCAGTTCACTACAGCCATTTCTCAAGACAATGCTTAAACTGCAGGCGAAACGTTGGGATTAAATTGGATCCCTTATTCTGAATGAATTAAGTGTACCATTGGCCCGAATATTGCACATTGACCTGATATTGAGTTAAAATACTAAAATCAAAATAGATCGCGACAATTATTGTTGTAAACCGGCTTGCGGATCCTCTAATTGAAGTGTTAATCGCTCGTTTAAAATCGTCTCGTTTGAGTGATTGTTAAATATTGCTAAACCTTGATATCTGATAAGCAATTGATTTCGTTCTGAGAAGGATTTGAAGTAGTTGAGCAGGTGAAAATAATTTATTGAAACTTACGTAAAGCAACATTTGAATTTATATCTTAGCTTGCCAGTTCTAAACTCGATAACTATACAGGGTGTTCGATTTAAAATAATCAAGTGGATATACTACCTGCTTTCGATATAACCGAAAGTACGACCATCTGGAAAATATTCTCGATTCTTTGCCCATTTTACAAATGTATTGCATATAATTCTTTAAAAATCAGGTGTTTATTTTTCAAAAAATCCCTCGCACCCGTGGATTTTTTGTTTTGAATTGCGCATTTCCTTAACCAATTTTTAGACAGGTTGACCATAAAAAAAGTTATGATACCAATGTCAACTTTTTCAAATAAAAACCCCTCTTTTTTGTAATTTTATTCAGTTCTTTATTCAGTAATTGTATGTAGCATACCCTAACTTATCTTTAACGGGTTTCGGAAAATTGGCGTCTGAAAGTCGTATGAAAAATTGCTACCCAATTTATAAACTATTGGTTCCTTGACAATAGGTATTCGATAGTGCTCTCAATATACCTAATTTTCTGCCGTATTTTGGCTTTTAACTCTTAAGTCTTCGATGTTTTGCAGCCGATTTACATAAGCCTTGGATTTTAAATAACCCCATCAGAAGTAGCCCAAGGGTGTAAAATCAGGAAGCTTTTCATTATGCGGTTGCCAATGGCCAATTTGCGGAAAACCGTTAAAGAAGGGAATGCTACAAAAAAATTATACCACTGAATAAAATTACAAAAAACAGGGAATTTTTTTTAAATAAGTTGCTCTTGAAATCATAACTTTTTGGGTCATCCTGTAGAAATAAAAAAACGCGCAATTATAAACAAAAATGGACGAGCCTGAGCGACTTTTCGCAAATTAAACACTGGGGATCGAAACAGTTCCCGGTGGGACACCCTGTATACTCACTAGGTATGTCAAGGTAAAACAGCTAATTTATATGTTTTGTTGTCTAGGCACGGAGAAAAGTGCAGAAAAAGCCAAGGAAAGCGGGAGATTTGGATGATCTAAAACAGGAATTAGATATCGATTATCATAAAATCACACCCGAGGAACTTTATCAGAGGTTTCAGACTCATCCAGAAAATGTAAGTATAGTTTTGGCAAAGAGACCATTTTTTGACTGTTTTTTTTATAATGTCTTTAGGGTCTTAGTCATGCAAAAGCAAAAGAAAATTTGGAACGGGACGGACCCAATGCTCTAACCCCGCCAAGGACAACGCCCGAATGGATAAAATTCTGTAAAAATCTCTTCGGAGGTTTCGCTCTCTTATTGTGGATTGGTGCAATCCTGTGCTTCATAGCCTATGGAATCCAGGCGAGTACCGTTGAAGAACCCAACGATGATAATTTGTTCTTGGGTATCGTACTGGCCGCCGTTGTTATCGTTACTGGTGCGTCTATTTTTCGTTGATTTTTAGAGTTTTTTTTCTCATTGTGATTAATTGGTTTTAGGTATATTTTCGTACTATCAGGAGAGTAAAAGCTCGAAAATTATGGAGTCCTTTAAAAACATGGTGCCTCAGTTCGCAATTGTACTTAGAGAAGGCGAAAAGTTGACCCTTCGCGCCGAAGATTTGGTTCTGGGCGATGTCGTGGAGGTGAAATTCGGAGACCGGATTCCTGCCGATATTCGGATTATTGAAACGCGCGGCTTCAAAGTGGACAACTCGTCGCTGACCGGAGAATCGGAGCCTCAGAGTCGGAGCCCCGAATTCACTCACGAGAACCCTCTGGAGACGAAGAATCTGGCCTTCTTCTCCACCAACGCCGTTGAAGGCACCGCCAAAGGTGTTGTTATTAGTTGCGGAGACAATACTGTAATGGGCCGAATCGCTGGTCTCGCCTCCGGCCTCGACACCGGCGAAACTCCCATCGCCAAAGAAATTCATCACTTCATCCATCTTATTACTGGCGTAGCCGTTTTCCTAGGAGTCACGTTCTTTTTAATTGCCTTCATTCTGGGTTATCACTGGTTGGATGCTGTTATTTTCCTCATCGGTATCATCGTGGCCAATGTTCCAGAAGGATTGCTGGCCACCGTCACTGTATGCCTCACCCTCACAGCCAAGCGGATGGCCTCAAAGAACTGCCTAGTTAAGAATTTAGAGGCTGTAGAAACTCTGGGCTCAACCAGCACAATTTGCTCAGACAAAACCGGTACTCTCACTCAGAACCGAATGACTGTGGCACACATGTGGTTTGATAATCAGATTATCGAGGCCGACACGACTGAGGATCAGTCGGGCGTTCAATACGATCGAACCAGTCCCGGGTTCAAAGCGCTTTCTCGTATCGCTACCCTTTGCAATCGTGCTGAGTTCAAGCCTGGTCAGGATGCCGTTCAGATTCTGAAGCGTGAAGTGAATGGCGATGCATCTGAAGCCGCGCTGCTTAAATGTATGGAGCTGGCGTTGGGCGATGTGATGAGCATTCGGCGCAAGAACAAGAAGGTTTGCGAGATCCCCTTCAACTCGACCAATAAGTATCAAGTGTCTGTGCACGAGAATGAAGATCCCAACGATCCACGTCATATTTTGGTAATGAAGGGCGCCCCCGAGCGCATTCTGGAACGCTGCAACACAATCTTTATCTGTGGCAAGGAGAAAGTCCTGGACGAGGAGATGAAGGAGGCATTCAACAATGCGTATTTAGAGCTGGGCGGTTTGGGTGAACGAGTGCTGGGATTCTGCGATTTTATGATGCCTTCCGACAAGTACCCAATTGGCTATAAATTTAACAGTGACGACGCCAACTTTCCCTTGGACGGACTGCGATTTGTTGGGTTGATGTCCATGATTGATCCACCTCGAGCTGCCGTTCCGGACGCTGTGGCTAAATGCCGAAGTGCCGGCATCAAGGTCATCATGGTTACCGGCGATCATCCCATCACGGCCAAAGCCATCGCCAAATCAGTCGGAATCATATCTGAAGGAAACGAGACCATTGAAGACATTGCGCAACGTTTGAACATCCCCGTCTCCGAAGTCAACCCGAGAGAGGCTAAGGCTGCAGTGGTTCACGGCTCCGATCTGAGGGATTTGTCTTCGGATCAGTTGGACGAGATCTTGCGGTACCATACTGAGATTGTGTTTGCCAGAACGTCCCCGCAGCAGAAACTGATTATTGTTGAGGGTTGTCAGCGAATGGGCGCCATTGTTGCTGTTACCGGTAAGTAGTTTTGAGGTACTTTGCTAAATGCAACAAAAAGTTTTTTTTAATTTAATATTAGGGGTTTGAGGCTTCGAAGGGAATGTTATTTCTTGGAGTGGTTTGTCTGATGGTATTCATTTGTCTGTTGTGGTATGAGGAGAAAAGAAATAAAAAGGAAAACTTATCTCAAAATCTTAGATTCTAGCTTCGTCGTTTTGGGTCACAAAAATGGTTTTAATTTTGAATTTCTTTTTTTGGGGAGGCCAGATACGGTCAAAATACATGCCCTAAAAGGTTCAGATGTGTTCCCAAAAAATCGCCGATTGATCCAGGAGAAAAAATCTTACGTGCACCACAGGCTCTAAAGAGAGCGCAACCTTCAAACGTCCATTACGCCTCCAAATCGCCTCATTTTTACTTATGCATCAATGCAACATGCAAGTGAAGCGAAGGACCATCAGATCTGCTGCACTGTTCAAACTAAGACACAAAAACCCGCCTTAGTACGCCACTCAATCGGACTCATTAGCATCAATGAATTTCCAGTTGCGATTTTGAAGAAATTTTTATCATTTTTAGGGTCAACTGTCTTCTAAGGATGATGAAAACTTTATATTTCTGTTTGCCTTAGTTTGGAAGACGCGGTTTTTTTTTAATGAGAAAACACAGTTGAGTGGAAATATGCATGCCTCCATATCAGGTACAGGGACTGGGAAAAATTGGCAGTTTTCACGGAAGAAGCCCAAATTTCAGAAAAACTTCTGATTTTGCTCGGTTCATTTAAAGTGCGAAGTAGAATGATTCCGCCTCGTTCAGTGTATCTTAGGAATCATTTAAGTTACTTTTTGTATCGCCTGATTGCGGTAGAAGAAAATGATTGAAGAACTGGTGGTAGCACCCAAAAAGGGACATTTTAAGATCACACATTTAGGTGCAAAATTAAGCCAAAATTTCATGTTTTAACCCCACATTTTGCCAATTTCTCTGAAACAAATTAAGCTAGAGTACTCAGGCCTAGACGATTTTTTGGCAGTTTTCACAAGAAAACCAATTTGACTCTGAACCTTCAAATTGAATGAAACGTTTTCCAAATCATCTTTTGCGGTATTAATTCAATTATTTCTTTTGACATGGGAAGTTGATTCTAGGGAGTATTTTAATTTGGTAACACCGAGAAATCCAGCAGTATTTCTTCCATTTTGTTCACTGTTCCGCTTTAGGTGTTGCCATCAGCAGCTTTTTGGGTTGAAATGTCCCGATTTTCAGATCTATTTGCCGTACTAATTTACTTTCAATAGCTGGAATATTTCGTACTGTTTCTTTACTTGTAGTTTCTAATTCGCCTTCAGCCGTAGAATGTAAATATTAATTTTTTCATCGTTTAAACTGACAATTTCCATCTCTTTAAGGTGATGGTGTTAACGATTCGCCCGCACTGAAGAAGGCGGATATCGGCGTGGCCATGGGCATTGCCGGATCGGACGTGTCGAAACAGGCTGCCGACATGATTTTGCTAGACGACAATTTCGCTTCAATTGTAACGGGAGTGGAGGAGGGTCGGCTCATCTTCGACAACTTGAAAAAATCCATTGCCTACACTCTGACCTCGAACATTCCCGAAATTTCCCCATTCCTGGCCTTTATCCTGTGCGACATTCCACTGCCACTCGGCACCGTTACCATCCTTTGCATTGATCTTGGAACCGACATGGTGAGTACCATTTCAAACCATTTTTTTTTGTTATGTCATTTGTTTTATTTTGCTCAAACAGTCAGAAAATTTGAAACTGAATGTTTGATGATCAGGCGTCTTTGACCTGTTCGTTTATTTAATTTTTTTGAGTTGATTTTTTGTGATATTTGAGAAAATGCAACGATATGCCAAGATGTTATTGGCGTCTAAGCAATCCAAGTTGAATGGAGATTTAAAAGAAAAATGTAAATTCGTGTTCTTGGGATAATCGTTGCCATTTGAATGCAAATGAGGCATCAGATTTCCAAAATGAAAAGTTATATTTTTGTACTCACAACCATATTGTAACAAGGTGCCGGCCATTTCGCTAGCTTACGAAAAAGCAGAGTCGGACATAATGAAACGGCGCCCCCGAAATCCGTACGCCGATAAATTAGTAAACGAAAGGTACCAAAAAGTTAATCAAATTGAAGATAAACATCTTATATTTATTCGCATGTAGACTTTGAGAACTACTGTTCCGCATAATTGCACTTATATTATTCTAGGCTCGGATTATGTTTCTTTGCGACACGATTATTTACTTCCCTAATTTCGAATCAGTAGAATAGCTATTATTTTTTTTATTTAATACTGTATTAGTAGCATTTTCTCAATTATCTAAAATACGCTCGAGTCACAGGTACGTTCAATGACAAAGCTCTTTTTACTTCATATTTCTTCTATGCCGAATTAATGTACTTTTATTCAGTTTTTTCGGCTTTCTTAACTCAATTTTTACTTTACTGTGTTTTTGTTTGTGTACATATAAAGTTCATTTGTATGTACAGGGTGATCCAACAATAGAGTAAAGTGAGTTTACGCTTAACCGATATTATTTGCTTCAAAATTGTCATTGTCATATTGTAAAGTTATTAAACGCGCATATTATTAAAATATTTACATTTACACAGAGTGCGTCAGGAAAGTTGCAGTGTAGGAAACAATTTTATATAAGATACGAACGAAAATTAGATAGTTTTTTGTTATTCGGCTTTAACGATAAAATTTCAAATTTTTGTGTTGTTGATAAATCGCAAATTTCTCCGTCGTCTTTAGAGACAAAAAAATTTGGGTGAGGCACGAGTGATCCTATATTAACATTTGGTTTGCAAAATATTTGTCTTTCAAACTGTAACTTTTACTGTTACTATGATCATGATCATCATGATCATGATACACTACAAATGTAAAATTTCATGATTAGAGCCGAATGACTAAAAACCTATCCAATTTTCGCTCACATTTTATGTATCAAAAATAAATTTGAATTTACATAAGAACTGAAAAATTATTTTGAGTTGAATTTTGAATCAAATAATACCGGTTAAGCCTAAACTTTTTCACTCTATCATTGGGACACCCTGACTGTGTAGAGAATATATTTTTTGGAGAAACTTTGATTTGAAGCAATCTTATGGGAAAAGAACTTTATATGTATGTTTCCTTTTATTTACTTTCACTGTTCTGTTTTTTATTTTCCCGACAAGGTGCCCGCTATTTCTTTGGCATATGAGGAAGCTGAGTCTGATATAATGAAGAGGCAGCCTAGAAACCCTTTTTACGATAAACTCGTCAACGCTAGGTGTAGTTTCTTTTATTTTATTTATTTGTGTGTTATCTGGGAGTTTTTGGGGCAACTAACAATTTTTCGTGTTTGTGCTGATAATAATCAAGGGTGGTGATGGGTGCTTCCGTTCGAGGACTCATAGCTATTGATCGTTTACTAATCATATACGGTTCTGATGCCTGCACGACCGAAAAATTCCACTTTTATTTAATAGAATAGTGATTGTTCAATCAATACAGATCCGACACACTCACACACCCAAATACTTTCCTCAGTCACGCAGAATCGCGTAGCTCGCATCGCTTAGCACTTACCATTTAACTCCTAGTGGTATGATTCGTTTTAGATGCGCAACTTTTTAGTTTGGTTTTGCAATAACGGCAACTTATTCATTCAAAGTTCATCGTAACGTCACCCTAGCAATTAGTGTTCTTATATGGAAAGCGCCATAGACACTGATTCTTCATCATACTGTTAGATCACTGCTGATCACTGCGATACATGTTTGTCGGAAAGTACACTGTTGAGTGTTTATTTTCAACGTCAGTCCAGTCTTTTTCTATTTTTTTTTCGATTAATCATTTTTTAATGTAAATCTAATTTTTTGTTGGAAAAATTCGAGCCCATTAGTTTTGCCAAATTGGCTTTCAGATACTGTTATGGAATTAATCTCTTCTTAAATAATACTTCTTGTGTATAAACTAAGGACATTTGTTTGACTATTAATTATTTGTTTCAAAAAGTGGCGGAAACTGGTAAATGCAAAAGTTGTTTATTATCCCACAAATTTTAAAAATCTGAAATTAAGTCTCTTGTTTTAAATAGAAGAACCTATGTTTTTTAAGATAGATCCATTGCCTGATAATGAGAAAAACATCGTTGCCGCTTTGAATTTTCAGCAAAAGATTATAGAAGAGTACTTTTTTAACATAAGATAGTTTCATTATTTGAAGAAAATATCGTAACGTTTCTTTTCGAATGTTTAAGTATTCCAATCAAACATGGGACCATTTCAAAATAATACTTGTTAACAAAGTTGACATTTTCAACTGTTAATTTATTCTAGAAATTTTTTAATGAATGTTGTCAATATTTTTCTCGTACTCGCCAGGTGAGCCATTATAAACCCTTTAAAAGGAACGAAACTAAAGGACGTCAATTTTGAATTACCCTGTATATGTAAGAGCAAAACGAAGACCAAATTTAAATTTTTCATGTTCGAAAACCACCAACTACTAAGTTTACTTCGAACGAAAATTCGAAACAGTTTTTCAGATCATGTGCTCGATAAGTAAGTCCTAGCGGACCCATGGACTTTTTATATTCAAAATACCTAAGGAATAGTCAGGTAAAATATCGGACATTTATTAAAAAACACCCTATATAGGGTCTAAAATTTGACATTTACCCCTTTAAACTTCACATTTAAAAAAATTGAGTAATAACGACTTTAGTATTTACGCCACTATTCACCGTTTTCGGACATAAAGTTCTTGGTCATTCTAATGTCAGCTTACGAGAAAACACTCTGTAGATCTCAGATATCAACTAACCGCGGCGTTTTCATTTTTCGAGTCATTTGAAATTGTTTTTCACTCGATTAAAAAGGCTCACCCCCGTTCCCACAAAAAAAGGAAAAAAAAACGAAATGGATTTTACTCGTCTTACTTTATCTACACACTGTACGACTTTGTCCTCTTATTAATGGGTGTAGTCATGGTTGAATTTTGGATTTCAATTATTTTTTTGGTCAACACACAGGTACCTGCCATATCATTGGCCTATGAGAATGCAGAGACTGATATCATGAAGAGGCGTCCTCGAGATCCTTTCAAAGATAAATTAGTGAATGAAAGGTAATGGAAAAGTGCTCGTGGTCTTTTCCTACTCCTGGTAAAGAAATGAGCTGACCATTCAAATGATGTGCTCGTAATCGATATTGTGGCCGATACCAAAGGGCTTTGATTGCTCTCTATTTCCAGTTCCAGATTAAAGTGCTTTAAAATAGAGAGTGATCAAAGTGGTTTGGTCGAGTGTATTATAGAGCCTTGTGATTTGTTTTGGGTGAACCAATTGAAAAAGCTGTACGGCGACTTAGGTGTTGGTGTGTATGTAAAGTAAACGTTCAGATTTTGTCTGAATACTTGGCGATAACTTCTGCTTTGTTCCGCGGGTTCCCATTTACATCCCAGTGCCAATCGGATGTCAGTGTGGAAAATCACAATCATTTACATACGCTTTTTGTAAATCCACCGCGTATGCGAAACATTTCCATGGTACTGATTAGTGCTTGTGTGTTTGTTTTGTTCGCAATGTAACACCGATTCGAGACGAGCATTGTTGTGTTGGATGCGAGTAGTTAGCAAGCACAACGCTCTGATCTCATTCATTGGTCACTCATCGATCGATATCTATTGATTTATTGCTTTTTTATTTCCTGCTTCGTTTCAGTTATTATTTTGACTAATGAATCATTCGCACGCGTGCTGCATTGGTTTCAATCAGAAGCCGGACCAAGCCATACGTGCGTTGAGATCGACCACTCTCCTTAATGCCTCTCTACACACTATTCTCGACTAAACTGACCAGAAACCAATAAAACCATGAATCAAAAAAAAAGAAAAATATGCATGACCATCTAATTTACTAACTGTGTGTTTGGCGGCGCTTGGCGCGTTTTCTTCTATATAGGTGCCTGCTATTTCTTTGGCCTACGAGGCTCCGGAGAGCGACATAATGAAAAGGCAACCTCGCGACCCATACAGGGACAACCTGGTTAACCGCAGGTGGGTCTAAAACTACATTTACTCAACAAGGATTTTTTCATTCGGTACTGGAGCTAAATTTTTGCCTTAACGTTTTGCATGAAAAGTTACTTCACTGGTTTGACTGCTGATTTTGAGCTTTTCCAAACCCCCAGTCAGGCTATGGAGTATTTTTAACACGTTTTTGTGCAAATTTTTCAAATTGGAAATTTTTTTATTTTGATAAATTGATGCTCTGTTCACCATTTTTTCTCAGTAACATTCTGCTATAGTTAAACCTCAATAAAATGTGTCTGGGCACTATTCAAAATAATCACAATCTTGCAAACTCCAGTTAATTTTATTGTAATTTTTTTTAAATGAACATTTTGATGGTTTTTACTGGTTGTTGAAGTTGAGTATTTGGCAAAAAGTTGGTTCTGGTACCGATTTAATTTCTTGTGATGTAAATGTACTGACTGCAGTGGTGTCGTCATGGCCTGGCACCAACACAATCGTTACCTCGGCACTGAAGATGTTTGTGAAGCGAATTCCGGTTACGGCGATCATACAGGGTGATTCTGAATCATGGAATTCACCTTCTAGGGATTGTTCAGTGCAACAATGGAAAACGAATTTAAGCAAATAAGAAGTCATGTCCGGAAAGGTCTTCTGAGTACGGACTATAAGTTGGTTTGGGTGGGAACATCTGTTTTCTCGTGTTCTAAGTTGTTAAAACTGCGAATTTCTTGGCGCTGATTGAGACGGTTTTTTCAAAATCACTTTTTGAGCCTTGTAGCTTTTGGTGCTGTTTTCGGGTTTTTTGTCGTGCAACGTTCAAAATGGCTTTTTGATAACCAGGCAAGAAATCCACTTGTCTTCGTTAGTATGCGATCAAGGAAGGCTTTGTTTGAATAGCATGTGAAGTTCGTTGCGTTGATTCAATCATGTTTTTGAAAATGAATTTTAGAACTTTCCACCGTTTTATACTGTTTTCGGTTTTTTTTTTCATTGCCATGTTCGACTTGCCTTTTTGTCGATAATAAAGATCCACTTAGTGACTTGAACAAGCGATTAAGGAAGGATTTCTTTTAATATAGTACAAATTTCGTTGCGTTGATTCCAGTTGTTTTTTTTTTTTTAATTTATGTTTGAAGATTGCTGCGTTTCGTGCCGATCTCCTTTTTTTAAATTGCAAGGTTAACAACCAGATTTTTCGATAACGGGACAAGAGATCGACTCGCCTTCTTTAGCCCGCGATAAAGGATGATTTTGTTCGAATATCTTGTGAATTTCATTGCGTTGATTAAAGAGGTTTTTTCAAAATTAATTTTTGAACTTTGTAGCGTCTGGTGTGGTTTTTGGGGTTTTGCCTGGTAAGGTTCATAATGCGTTTTTTAGATGACCAGACAAGAGAGCGACTCTCCCTCTTTAGCTCGCGATAAAGATGCGATTTTTTTAATTACATGTGAATTTTGTTTCGTTGATTTGAGAGGTTTTTTCAAAATTAAATTTTGAATGTTGCTCAAGCGATTGGTGCGAATTTCGTTTTTTTTGCATTGATGCTTTAATTCAAGATTGACTCGCCGTCTTTAGCCAGCGATAACGGAAGGTGTTTGCTTGTACATCGTATGAATTTACGTTCATTAAAATGGTTTATTCAAAATTGATTGTGGAACATTGCCGCGTTTGGTGCTGTTTTCAGTTTTTTTAATTTGTAAGGTTCAAAAACCTACAGTCACTGTACAAAAACCGTTTTGCTAATAATGGGGCATGAGATCGACGTCCCCTCTTTCGTATGCTATAAAGGATGGCTTTGTTCGAGTATAATGTAAATTTAGTTGAGTTGATTTTTGAAATTTGAGCGTTTGGCGCGGTTTTCGATTTTTTAAATTGCAAAGTTAAAACGTTTGATAACGAAGCAAGAAATCGACTCGTCTATTTAGCACGCGCTTACGTCGATTAAAGTGAATTTTTTAAATAAGTTTTTGAACGTTGCCTTGTTTGGTGCGGTTTTCAGTTTATTTCATTGCAACGTTCAAAATCGTTTTTTTTTTCAGATTCAGAGATGCAGAACGGCTTTTTTTGAATATCATGGGCATTTCTTTGAGTTGGTTCAAGTGGTTTTTTCAAAATTAATTTTTCAACTTTGCCGCGTTTGGTGCCGTTTTAATTTTTTTACATTGCAAGGGTCAAAAACTGTTTCTTTGATAACGGGGCATGAAATCGACATGACCTCTTTCGCACGCGGTAAAGGAAGGTTTTTTCTGAGTATCATGTGAATTTCGTTGCGTCGATTGAAGTGGTTTTTTCAAAATTATTTTTTTTCCCGTTTAGTGCTGTGAATAGATATTTTTTCGATAACGGGGCAATAGATCGACTCGCCCTCTGCAGCACGCGATAAAAGAAGACTTTGTTTGAATTTCCTGCGAATTTCGTTGCGTTGGATCAAGTGTTTATTCACAATTAACTTTTGAGCATTGTCGCTTTGCTGCTGTGTTTCTTTGTTAGGTTATAAATGTATTTTTTCGATAACTAGTCAAGTGATCGAGTCGCCGTCTTCAGCACTCGATTAAAGAAGACTTTGTTTCCATCTCATGTGAATTTCATGGCGTTAATTGAAGTGGTTTTATCAAAGTGCATTTTTGAATTTCTCCGCGTTAAGGGCTATTTTCAGGTTTTTGCTTTACAAGGCTCTAAATGCGTTTATTTGATTAGCAAACCAAAAATCGATATGCGGTATTCAGAACCCATAAAGGAAGGTTTAGCTTGAATATGCTGCAAATTTAGATACCCTAATTCAAGAGCCTTTTTCCAGATAGATTTTTGAACATTGCCGCAGCAAGTTGGTGCTGTTTTCAGTTTTTGCCTTTAATTTTTGCTTTCTAAATGCACATGCAATCCGTGTCTCACCTTGTAAGGTTCTAAATGCGATTTTTCGATGACCAAGCAATTGATGAACAAGCGTTATAGGAAGTGAAGCTGATGATAGCTAGTGGGCTCGAAACCGGTCATGGAGGTGCCTAAAACTCAAATTTCTTCTATTGTTGCACTGAACAATCCCTAGAAGTTTGATCTATAGTTCTAAATCAGCCTGGTGATAGTACAAGCGTGTGGAAAAGTTTAAAAAAAGTTAAAAAACCTTGCTTTATTAAAACTACCAAATTTGAGTTATTTTTCAGTTTACTGTAGGTCGATCGGCTATTAACTATCTATTCTTCACGTTTTGCTTAGTATTACTATTTTTTTGTGAAATTAGAAGACAAAGTAACCAAATTTGCTTATTGGCTTTTACGCGCAGATTTCCTTTCGGTGGGTACTCATTTCAGTTCAGCCGACACATTAATCCATTAAACCGATGCGATTAATGTTCTTTTGAGCAATCAGCAATGATTCCCACTATTGTAGGTACTTAGTAGAACATTAGACTATGTTTCCCTTAGGGTAACGTCTTTAGAGTAACCATATTTCTATAATGCCGAGGTATAGTTTGTGTAATTGAACAGTTCTAGCATTTTGTAGAGCAGTTCTAGTTTAATCTGCGAATCGCAGAACACCGGTCTTGTTCTGTTCAATGTTCCGTAGACAGTTCTCTTAGATCTTGTTCACTAGACTCTAGAAACTATAGATGTGCTGTAAATTTAAGCTGCATCCCATGTGAACACACTCCGCCGTCGTTTGGGGTGTCCATTCTCACAATGGTAAGAGATGAGGGTATGCTCTTGAGTAAAAAAGAGGTTTTTTTGATTGTTTAATTTCAATGATCTCTATTGTTTTGCACTAAAACATTCGCCTGACTTTAGGCGTAAATCTGTAGATTGTTTTAGGATTAATTTGTCTTGTTACATCGGGATATTATCGATTTTTTTTTAATTTCTCTGGTTTTTCATTAATTTTAATTTGGATGGATGGTTTGGAACTTTCGAATTACTACTATTCCCATGGTAGGATTCGAAAATTTAAGTTTTTATATACTTTTTTCGTTTTAGCGACTCTATTTTGCGCTCTACACAATGTTTCTGATCTAAGTATTTGAAATTTCTGGATAATTAAAGCAATCTGGATATCAGCACCATGTTTTGCAATTGATGTTCAAGCAATAGAAAATATTATTGTGACTGGAAAATGAGGTGGTTGAGTGAGGGTCATTTTCTCACTGTGTCCTAGGTTTCATGGAGCAGAAGGAGCGCTGAACTTTTGAAAAAAACCGATAAAATGTAATTTTACGTCTGATTTGGAAATGGGACTTTTTGTCGATAGAAATGAACTTGAATGAGCTACTCAGAGCAGTCAAATAACGCGAACTCACTTCTGTATTTAAAAATGTATATTATTGTGTTCCTTTTTATATTTTCCTGCTAAAATGTGGTTTTTTAGATTTTTCCTGAAAACTGTGTATTTTATTGTATTTCTACACAAGCAACTTTTCGTGCAAAAAGTATCATATTTTCATTGTCCTGTTTCAGAAGTTGCAAACAAATATAACACGATTAGAGTCATTTTTTGATCCAGAACAGTATTTTTTGGGTTCAAACTGAAAAAGCAATTGACTTTTTACTTGAATGTGTCGCTGTTTCTGTTACTTTCTTTGTTTCGCTGCTCAATAAAAGCTAAATTTTAGTGGTAAATTCGCATTTTCTAATGCTTAATTTTGCTTGAAAATCGTGCATTCTATCGTGTTTCAACAAGAGTAACTTTACGTGCGGAAATCATCCATGGTTTGATCGCATTTTTTCGGAAATTGCAAATAAATAGTATAATACGATTAGGGTCAATTTTTGCTCAGGATCTGGACTTTTAGAACTTTTGGGTTGGCGAAAAAAACATTCTGGCTTCAAACGCAAAAATCAATTGACTTTTTAGTTGAAAGTGTAACTCTTCTAACTTTCTGTAACTTTTTATGTTTTGCTGCTCAAGAAAAGGCATATTTTTGTGATAAATTCGCTTTTTTTAAGTTAATTTTGCTCGAAAACCGTGTATTCTATCGTGTTTCAATAAAAGCAACTTTTCGTGCAAAAATTATCCATATTAGGATTGCTGTTTTTTCAGCAAAGATGATTAGATCCAATTAGAACTTTTAGGTTTACGAAAAAAACATTCTGGCTTGAAACGCAAAAATCAATTGACATTTTAGTTGAAAGTGTGACCATTTCTGTTACTTTTTATGTTTCGCTTAAAGCAAAAAAGCCATATTTTGCGATAAATTCTCCTCTTTTTTTTAAGTTAATTTTGCTCAAAAACCGTGCATTCTGGCTTGTTTCAACAAAAGCAACTTCTTGTGCAAAAATCATCCACATTTCGATTGTTTTTTTTTAGAAATTAAAAACGTACAGCAAAGATGATTAGAGCCAATTTTTGCTCACGATCTGGATTTTTGGAGCTTTTGGGTTTACGAAAAAACAATCTGGCCTTAAACGCAAAAATCAATTGAATTTTTGGTTGGCAGTGTGACTATTTCTATTAAGTGAAGTACTTTTCATGTTTCGCTGCTCAATAAAACCCATATTTCTGCGAAAAATTAGCATTTTCTAAATTAATTTTGCTCGAAAACTGTGCATTCTATCGCGTTCCAGCAAAAGCAACTTTTCGTACAGAACTCACCAAAAATCATGGAATGAAGTTATAGGAGAATTTACCTTCAGCCAACAGCTCATGTTTCCATAAGTGAGATTAACATTTCAAAATGCTAGTTTTGGCAAATTTAACTCCTAAAAAATTAGAGCCAGTGGTTAAGATTTTCTGGTTGAACTTTCAATCTCTTCAAGAAATTTGCTTTATCTGCCTTGCAATTTCTAATGCCTCGATTTGAACCACATTGTGTAATAGGGGCATTTGCAGACCGACCGCTTACGCCATATCTTTCTTCGTTGACTCTGTATGTTTCAGAAAGTTCTGCTAAAGGGTATTTTTGTTTACCTTCAATATGTTGAGTTGAATGAACGATTCAAAACACTGTATAGAGGTATTGTTACTGGCTGCAGCATGTCTCTGTGACTTTTGCGCGCACGAAGCCTTGGATTTTCAGTACTGACCAAGTAGACGGAGCGTTTTTTTCTATCTATTTTATTGGTTTTATATTACAGCGCTTTTGATTTTTGCTGTTTTCAAAGTAACACTCAATTGAATTATTGTCCACGCAACTTGATTCCGACAAAATTGAAGCAGAAGTATCGCTAACTTTAGGCCGAGTGTTGAATACTCGGAAAAGTGATCATTGGGGCTTGCTTTGCATGTCGCATGCTAGTTTATGAGCAAATGTTCGTTGTTTTTATGTGTGTTAGCGAGTTTTAAGAAAACTCATCATCAGTTTGCTTAAAATTCGCGGCTTTGGCCTTATTTCACTCATATTAATGTGGTGTGTTTGTTTTTCTCATTTAGATTGATTTCAATGGCTTATGGACAAATCGGAATGATCCAGGCAGCTGCCGGATTCTTCGTCTACTTTGTCATTATGGCTGAGAATGGATTTTTGCCGATGAAACTGTTTGGTATCAGAAAGCAGTGGGATTCGAAAGCTATCAATGATTTGCCCGATTCCTATGGGCAGGAATGGGTAAGTCGGATATATTCACCTTAAAAGACAGATCCTTTAACTGATGGAAATTTACATTCCGTCTAGACCTACAAGGATAGAAAAGTTTTGGAATACACTTGCCATACCGCGTTCTTTGTCTCCATTGTGATTGTGCAATGGGCAGATTTGATCGTCTGCAAAACCAGACGCAACTCGATTGTGCATCAGGGCATGAGAAACTGGGCTCTAAATTTCGGACTCGTTTTCGAAACCGCTCTGGCTTGCTTCCTGTCCTACACACCAGGAATGGACAAGGGACTTCGCATGTTCCCGCTAAAGTAAGAACATTTTTTAATTAACATTGCACTCTTGTCACATGCAGGAAAGCAGCTTCAAATTTCAGGCAGAAGTATTTGAAATCTATAACGAAAATCGATTTTTTTGTGAATGTACTTTTCTATCGTACAAAAATTTTGAAAAACTTGTTTTTCAAGTTTTATAGGATTCTGGACTAGAAGATTGATTTCCTTTGAAGAAGAATACTTGTCCGAATGAAGGGATTTTTTTCGCTGCTTAAGAGGACAAATAATGTTTTCTTATTCCAAAAATTAGTAGTCCGCTTAAGCCGCGAAAAAACCCTACCTTGAATTTTAAGACGCTAAAAAAATTGTTAAGGAATAAAAAAAAATAGTTTTTAAAGTTTAATAAGATTTTGCGTTGAAAGCTTCATTTTCTTTGAATCAGAACACTTATCTGAATGTTTTGTGAAAACTTTGCTTCAAATTTCAGGCTAACGTCTTTGAAATCTACTGGGAAAGTTGATTTTTCGTAAATTTACCTACCTTTCTACAGACGAAAATAAAAAAAAATCGCTTTTTTGAGGGGTGAAAAAAATGATTTGCTTTGAAGCAAAATATTTTTCTGAATGTTCTGTAAGAAATTTAGCTTCAAATTTGAGACTAAAGTCTATGGTGGAAGTTAATTTTTAGTAAATTTACCTACTACCTTTTTCTGGACCAAAATGAATAAATTGGTTTTTAAGTTCGACAAGGATCTGCAGACGAATTTTGATTTCCATTGAAACATAATATTTTTCTGAATGTTCTGTGCCTACAATTTCAGCGAAAATTATTTATTTCCCTTGGAAAAAAAAACACTGTTCTGAATGTTTTGTGAAAAATTTAGCTTCAAATTTCAGGCTAAAGCCTTTGAAATCTAACGCAAAAGTTGATTTTTCGTAAATCTACCTAAATCCTACCTTTTTATAGATCAAAATGAATAATTTCGCTTTTTGAGTTCGACAATGTTCTGAACAAGAATCTTAATTTCCGTTGAAACATAATATATTTTTTAATGTCCTGTGCTTCCAATTTCAGCGAAAATTATTTATTTCTTTTGAAAAAAACTACTTTTAGGAATGTTTTGTGAAAAATTTACCTTCAAATTTCAGGCTGAAGTCTTCGCGTTCTGAACAAGAATCTTGATTTCCTTTGAGGCTCTGAATGTTCTGTGAAAAATTTCAGAGACATGTATTTGAAATCTACGACATAGGTGGATTTTTTCTAAATTTGTCTTGTTTTTTTTATTCGCTTTTTAAGTTTTACAAGGTTCAGCACAAGAATTTTATTTTTTTTAACCCGAATAGTTTTATGATTATTCTGTGAGAAATTCAGGTTCCACTTTCATCAAACTAAAATAAAACAAATTTTTTTTCAAGTTCAACATTGTGCCAGAAAGCTGATGTTCTTTGAAGCACAATCCTTTTCTGAATATTTTGTGATAAATTGTGCTTTAGATTTGAAGCAAAAATATTTGGAATCTATGATGTAAATTGATTTTTTGAAAATGCAAAGTTGTTTTCAAGTTCTACAAGTTCAAGTCTTAACTGTTCAGAATTTCCTATAAAAAATCTCAAATCGCTCAACCCGCGCAATTTTCTTCGCAGGAAAACGAGCCTATTGAAACACTCATTTTGGGTCACTTTGTATATTAAAATCCGATTTCTACAGGATGAGGATGATTTTTGTTTTCGTGTTGTTGTAATGATGTGTGAGCTGGAGAAATATGATGCTAATGAGTGAATTTGCAGGTTTGTGTGGTGGTTGCCAGCAATTCCCTTCATGCTCTCGATCTTTATCTACGACGAGGTGAGAAGGTTCTACATAAGACGTAACCCTGGAGGGTGGTTAGAGCAGGAGACCTACTACTAATCGCCTCAGCTAGCCCTATACTGCCACCTGGTGGGCGCCGCCGGTCGCTGTCTAGTTGTTTCGATAGCAGGGACCTCGTGTTAAGATCGCATGCACACACAACATCAACATCAATATTAACAACAAGAAAGAGCCGAGATCAGGGCAAAACCCGCCGGTTTTGAATGACGTCGTTCTCTATCGATTGTTGTACAAATCATGTTGCTATTTCTAGAACACTTGCTGCTTTTAACGCAGCCATATAAAATAATAATTGTGCGGAGTCGATCTTAAATATATTTATAGGTTATAACTATATGCATGCGCGGATCGCCTGCGCACAAACTAGTTTATGAAATAATTAAGGATAATTTAACTAATATTATGAGTAATAGATTTTGCGACAGTGTCACGTACCATTTGTTCATATAGGAAGTCAGAGCATACTTTACTACCCCGATAAAGCAGAGCTGTCCGCAATAACGTTTTCATACATTCCATTTTTGAAAACTACAGTTGCCTTAGTGCTGTCAGTCATTTGCGGTCTGAGGGTGTGGGTGGGCGTCGTCCTGGTTGCCTGTTAACGGACGCTCATCTCTCCCTTCTCCCGGTCTTGTCCGGACTCGTGTGCGCCGTTCGGACAAACGATTTAGTATTATTTAGGCTTTCAACACTTAGGTTAGCTAGGATGTAACTGTGTTGTTAAATTGTATTAACTGTCATACCAGTCGTGCTCAATACACATGACTAACTATTATCATATTTATAAACGTTCGGACGAAAATCGCCGTTACTGTGAAGTCTAGCCAGGCAATGAGTGTGCGGCGGAGAGTCTCCTAAAGCGTTCCGTCTTGCTTGTTCCAAGTATTATGTTTGGTGGATTCAAAATTTTCAAAAGTATCACCACTATACTAGGTATGCTTTCGTAGCGTGTTCTTTTCTAGTTGAAACGATTTAAGCCTGCTGGTCTGAGACCAGGTGACCACAGTATCATTATTATTGTAAATATTTTTATGTAAGTCACTTAATTATTTTTCTGCTTCTGTTCTTTTCACATTCATATTTTAGTACGTAATGATGCTGTATAAATTTGGGTTTTAATAAAATGGATGATAGTGTTACCGCCCAGCTATTTCTTGCACTCACACTCTTTTCTGTTCCTTCCAGGTTTTCCAGACTCGTTCACTGCCTCCATTACCTTGTATACCATTTCAGAACATTTTCCAAATTCAAGTGAGCCAGTTTGGTACATTTTTTTACTTTAAAACTAGGTTTTTATTGTTTTTATAAACCACGATAGTACAAAATACCTATCCAGCCCCATTCCGGGCTGGCCCCATATGGAAAAATCCACGGAACCTTTAAATTTTCACAATTTTTTTAATTTTTAAAGTAAGAGCACACTCATAATCGATATTTTTTTATGTTCGTTGAGCGTTCAGAAGTAATAGTGACTCACTTTAACTAAATGCTGAAAAAGTTCTTCATATTTGTTAATATTGATTTTCAAATATTTTATAATACCACATACTTCCCTCACAAACCACAGCACAGATTTCCATTCGAAAATACTCGAGGCCGAAAATCAATGATTGATTACATAATTACAAATAAAAACATTCACTCAAATAGAATCGAAGACATCAGAGTCTAACATCTGCAAACCCGAGAACCAATCGTAACTTAGTACTGGCCAAAATAACTGCCGACGTTCAATACACTAAGAAGCAAACGCGCGTTAAAGTAAGCAAAATAAATATTGAATCACTTACAGTCCCATCAAAAAAACTCCTATACCTACCAACAAAGACTTAAGAAAATAGAAAGTAACCACATTGTGTATAAATCTACCAAACCAATCACAAATTTATGGTTTACTAAGGAAGTCAAAGAACTAGCAACCGAAAAGCGCAAAGCATACCTGAAATACAGATCACAAACCTTAACACTGGATGAATACGAAACCGTAAGAAATACAGTCAACAACAAAATCCAATGTATTAAAATAGCACGTTCCATTGTTGCACTGAACAATCCCTAGAAGGTGAATTCCATGATTCAGAATCACCCTGTATGATCGCCGTAACCGGAATTCGCTTCACAAACATCTTCAGTGCCGAGGTAACGATTGTGTTGGTGCCAGGCCATGACGACACCACTGCAGTCAGTACATTTACATCACAAGAAATTAAATCGGTACCAGAACCAACTTTTTGCCAAATACTCAACTTCAACAACCAGTAAAAACCTTGATTTTGGTTGGCAAACGTTGGCATGAAAGCTGGAATTCATCATCCCAGACACAACTCTAAGAAAGTAGAGAACAAGGCAGATGCCTTACAAAAAGGAAGAAGAAATATTTTTATTGGCTCGGGTATGGTCCATTTACTAAGAAGACTCAAAATTAGTAGAAAATATCATAACCGCCCCAAGTGTATGTAGGTTCAGTTTGTTTGCATTGCATTACGCGAATTCAGCCTTGTCGTGATCTTCACCATGAACTGATGAAGACAAACCGGATTCGGATTCTTCTTCTTAGTCAGCCCTCCATCATCCACTCCTGGACATAGGCCTCTCTCATGCTCCTCCATACTGATCTGTCTTGTGCTGCCTGGGCCCACCTCTTTCCTACATGTTGCTTAATGTCGTCGAGCCATCTTCTCTGTGGTCTTTCTAGACTGCGCCTTGTCAGTCTTTGTATCCGGTATACAATCTTATGCGTACATCGCGAGTGATCTTGTCCCACCCACTGCCTGAAATACGTGCTATTCTTCTACGACTTTGGTTCTTCCTGTCGGATCCTGTCCCTACGACTGATGTTAATCCTTGTTCTTTCCATCGCTCGTTGCGTTACCCTCAGTTGATTTGTGGTCATTTTCATCATTGCCATTGTTTCCAGGCCATAAGTCGCTACTGGCAATATGCAGGGGTCGAACTTTCATTTTGAGGTTTATAGGAATTTCACCATTTCTAAACAGAAACTTCAGTTTTCCGAAAACTATTCAAGTCAGTCTTATCTTTTTCTTCTTCTTCTTCTTTGTTGAAGGATTGCTCCTGTTTGCCTTCAAAGTTACAACGCCAAGCTCCAGTTGTCGTGCCATCGTTTTGGAGGTCTTCCAGGAGGTCGCTTCGATACCGGGCGTCCCTTTTTCGCGATTTTTTGTAGCCTTGTAATGTCCATCCTGTTGACATGGTCTCTCCACTCTCTTCTTCTATTGCAGCGCCATCTCACCGCATCTTGAATGTCGTACTGTGTTCTAATGTAATGCAGTCTGTTATGCGACAAAATAGCCATATGAAAACATTAAATTGACAATAATTCGACAACTAAACAATTTTGGAATAGACAACTTTACACAAACTTACCCTTATTTTTAATACTGAATAAGATAAAATTATCAAAAAAATGATTTTGGGCAGTTTTCTCAACGTTATTTTGAAGCTTAATTTTTTATGTATTAATAGTGATCAAAATTTTGTCGAAATACCATTAAAGTAAGTCCTTTTGAGCAAGAAATGCGACTCAAATTAAGTAGCACAAATTCCCTTGAATAGAATAGTTATTCGAGAGGCTGCATCTCTCTTTTTCACATAAAATTTCGAATACATATATCAAAAACGTTAGACAGACACCCTGTATTTGTATATCTACGAAAATCGAATTTTCGCTTTTTTCAAATTAACCACTAACCTGACTATTTAAACCAAAAACAGTATAATTTGGGCTATAGTTTTTAGTAAATTGGATCGAAAATATAGAATCATTGTACCCCTTAAGGAAAGTTTATAATTCGAAAGATATTTTCATTTCGTGATCAAGTGTCGTGTGTGCTTTTTGAAGATTAATGGATAGATAATGGGGGATGGAGCTCCAGCTTACAGGAAGCTGATAAGAATGATCTAATCTATGAACCCCAACTTTACATTTTGCTTTTTTGCTTTAATATTTTGAAATAAATTGGCTTTAGACAGATTTTCTGCTGTACTAAACTCATTTTCTTCATTCTTTCCGAGTGGCATTACACAGCTTTCGGTAAGTTTGGCATTACTTTTTTAGAGCTTTTAGGCCTATATTGTTGACTTGTATTTTGATATTGTTTCGTCTTACCTATATTTATTCGATGATGAACGATGCATCCGCATCCTCTACGTATGGTGTAAATTTCAAGTTGTTAGTTGCCTTAGTGTGGAATTCTTAAGATTGAGCGCAGTTGAAAAAACTTAAATTTTGATCCTGATGTTTACACAGCTGTCAAAAAAAATGGCTCCTAAGAAGTATTGAAAAATATCAAGGTTTATTTCTAAAGATGGCATATAACTAGAGGTACACAGGGTGGCAATGTCCCCTTTGAAGAAACATTGATCAAAGAATATTTTATGGCTTTTAAATATTAGAAGATAGCGTGTCGCGCGCGTTAAATCATCGAAAACCATTTTTTTTGCGGAGATTACGGTCCGGGAAAGAAATCGCTCGAAGACAGTCCTGGGGTAAGCGCACTAATATTATCGGTGCCAAAACACGTCGCGTCATCTTTTTCTTGCGTCGCGTCGTCTTTGTTTAATTTAGACATAAACCATTTTAGGGTGCCACTACCGTAAAATAGTACCTGGAACTATTCTTGCTCCATGTTTCGTTTGAAAGCTTTGAAAAATTGGATTGTCTGCTTATCTCTCGAAAAAAAAAACACAAATATCTAATTAAAAAGAACTATTTCTTAGCATTTTACAATGGAGTGAACACATTTTTACATTACAATCATAAATTAACATTAAAATTATATGTACACGACAGCAATTGCACTATTTCGAGAGGAGGCTTTGATATTAATCAGTGAGCGATGCACAGTGTACAGGTAGAACTTGGAGTATGATGTGAATATCACAGTTTCCAAACGAAAGTTGATGGGAAAATTCATGTCTTCGGAGAACCAGTTTCAATTGGCATTGTAATGAATTGGGTAATTATCTAATTTACTATACAAGGCGATATGGTACCAGAAGATTTGACAAAATCGCGCTTTGACTGTGTTCGTTACTGTTAATGTAGCTGCGAAAAAGTAATCAAACTCAATACTCCAGTAGGTTATTATTAGTGTATCCAGTTAACTCGGTTCTATATAGTGAGGACATGGATTGAAATTGGGGAGTTTTTCGGGTTTTTTTCGCACCGTGGCCTAAAACCCCGAAAAACTCATCAGCTTATAGGCATAGGTCATTGTCAATTCGCTTTTTAGTCTATCTTTTGGACCCTTTCCAGATTCTTATCTTATTACTATAATGGCCCACTTGGACAGAACCTTAAGTACAATAATTAAAAATACCATAATGTTCTATCATTTACAACGCGTCCGACTAGCATTACCTACTTGGCTAGATAAGATCGACAACACTAATCTCTCGTGAAACCGCTAACAAAGCTGCAAATAAAAAGTGTTGGCGCTAATGATTTATTAGTACAGCTAAGGGTCGATCTACGGTGTTAGATGGTGTTGGTGTCCAGAGCGCTCTGTTTGCTGGTGTTGAAGGGCAATTGTCCCGCCTCTGTACACGATCTACAGCAGAACTTTGCATAATATTTGTGGTTGCAGAAGTTGGCCTTTACGATCAGTTTGCAATTGGCAAAGAACTGATTATCTGTACAACTCGGATCGATGAACATTCCTAGGAAGAATAAGAAAACGTTTTTATTGAAAAATCCACATCGATTTGCTGTTGCATTTTGTCAACACGTTTAATCATTTATTTATAATATGTAATTCCAATTGAGGCCAGGAGAATTACGACGAAATTTTTCAAATATGTTTCTGACGTGACGTGATTTAGATAACTTATTGGAGGTGTGCTATTTTCATAAACATCAAAAACGTGAAAAAAATTGTAAAATCGCATTTTTTCTCGCAAATAATTGCATATAACTCGGTAAGTATACATTTTAGAGAAAACATGTATGCGTATAAATTTATTCGTTATGAAATTGTCTACCAGACAAAGTTGGTCCGATATCCGTAGATTTGAAATGCTTTCTGCAAAAAGTAGCAAAAAGTAGGTGGAAAACAGCGTAATTTTAATATTTATTTAACAATGAAAAAATTAGCCAATGCATGGTGTCATTTAGAAAAAATTACTTAACTGCAATACCCTTCCTGAAAAAAGCCTTTTTTTTTAATTTTATGTCAGCCTCAAAATTATGAATCTTTTTTGGCTCCTTAACTTTGATAGGCAATTGCTATTTTAACCATTTCTCAATTTTTATTAACTTTTTGAGCGGTTCTAAAGTTTGAAAATGTGCGCTTTTTATATTTATTTATTTAAATCTCGCCTTCTTCTACACCGATTTAAAATTTTTTTTTTAAGTGGTTTTAAGTTTAAGTTTAACATCCTTATTGAGCAGATATTGTTCATTGTAAATTAGTATTAAATTGAAGAATTAATGCCTAATAATGTTATAAATTGATTTAATTATTATTATATAGTACATTGAATAACAGCAGATAAGGTATAAGTAATCGTTAAATATTGACAATTTAATTAGATTAACATAAATTACAGAAGTTATTTATCATACAAATTAATTTACTTATTTAAGTCAAAATTTTCGAACTTCGCTCAAAGTTATTAAAAATAGAAAAATGGTCCATATAGTAATTTAGGATAGTTTAAGGATCCAAGAAGGCGTAAAAGTGCGGACGCAAAAAATATTCATGTTGAAACTGACTGACAGAAAACTAAAAAGAAAACTTTTTTCGAGGTAGGTTATTTAATAATTGCATTACGCAAAAACTGTCCGTCCGATCTTAATCGGCCTTGCCGCCCTCGTTTTGAGTTACAGTGGAGTACTTTTCTCTAAATGTATGGCATAATTGGCCTTTATTTTTCATTGTCAAATAAATAATTTAAAATTGCCTGGTTTTTTACCTACTTTCGAGCATTTCAAATCTACGGATATTGGACCAACTCTATTTTATATAAATTTTCATAACAAAAAAATTTATAAGTATACATTTTTTCTCCAAAATGCCTACTTACGGGGTTATATACATTATTTCCGGAGAAAAAGGCGATTTACACATTTCACACTTTTTCGTTGTTTATGCAAATGGCACACATTTTCAAGCTGGCGCACCTCGATTGGGCCTGGGTAACACTGTGTTGAGTTGCGCTATTGAGTTGTTGCCGCTCTCTGAGCTAACGAGTATGCGTATAAATCATCGGTTAATGAGTTATAAGTCATTTATTAAAGTTTTTCGAAACCCGATACTGGAATTTTTACATCATCTTTTCACATTTAAAAAAAGGTCGTCAACATTTTTTCTGAGTAACTTTTTACTACAAACAACTAAAAAAAGTAATTTAGATTTTCGCAGCAACAGAACTGAGTCCAAAGAAAGTCGACGAGTTTTCTTGTAAAATCGATTTCTTAATTTTTTGCATAAAAGATTCAGTTTGCCAGTTATATTTTACAGTAAAACGTTATGAAAAACGCGGTTTTTCTGTGTAGAGACACTGTTGTTTAGAAATATTAACCTAAAAGTGAAGAAACTTTATTTCCAAATAAATTATTATAAACTTTCGCGATTTAAGTTCGGGGAAATATTTTTCGAAAAAGACCTAGAAATAATTATTACTTGAAGAGATACCTGACGATTGCCAGTATTTTAAGTAAAACTAAAACATAATGCGATTTTTGCGGCGAGAAAATTGCTTAATAGAAACTTTACTAAAACTGGAATGACCTGAAAATTTAAAGAAACTTTAGAAATCCTCAAAGCGATTAGGGAGAGGAATTTTCCCAATATATTTTTTTAAACTTTTGCTCTGGTCGTTTTTTAAAGATAATCCTTCCGATAAATTATACTACTACATTACTTCCGATAAAAAACTGAATACAATTATTTGGTTTTTGTGCCAAATTCGAAGCTGAAAAGGGTTTTCTAAAGTTTCCTGAAACTAATTTTGTCATTTTTGACTAAAAATACCCCATTATTGTCAGACAAACAACCTATTATTGTCAAAAAAGAAGAAAATATTGCTTTTTCGGTTTTGTTGACCGCTTTTGGAGAAAACCTTAATGGTTTTCGGGAAAAAAACCTCGTAGGAATTTTCTTTTTTGTCCCGAATTCAACGATTAAAAATATTATTAATAAATAAAATATATCTAAAAAAAGTTATCAACATTTTCCCAGCAACGGAACTGGGTTACTGTGCCGGTGCGTTGGGTTGGCGCCCCAAGCTATTTGCACAGCACTGCGCCAAGTCCTAAAATTTCTCTGAGTTACCCAGATCTAACCTCGATATTTTCAATAGGTATACCCGAGTGTTTCCAATGGTTATCTGCGTTACGTCACGTTAGAGCAATGCCAATGGGTAACCCTCTTGGTCTAATTGTGTAATAGGATAATGTAATAGGAGGTTTAACTCCAACTTTACATTCTAATGAGCTTAGATATTTTGAGAAATAAGAGTATGAAAAGGTTCCATTAATCTTACCTTCTATTATCACGTCCAAGGTACTAGATGCTTTAGAGTACTGATTAATGGCCTCACATTGGTACCTGCCCGAGTCCGATTTCTCTGCCGCCTGAATGGTCAAAGTGTGCGTATCTGCAATAATACCCATTGAATTATCAATGCATGAATCATATTTGAGTTGCGCCGTACCTGAAATTGATATTTTTCCACCCGAATATAACGGTACGCCATCCTTGTACCACTTGACTTCTGGCGGAGGGTACCCGTAAACATCGCAGCGAATCTGGACGTTCGTCCCAGTCGCATGTGTTTGCTCGTTTGTAGTTATATTGGCCCTTACCGGTACTAAAAAACGAACGAAATCAGCGACAAACCCTCATTATGGTGAATTCAGCAGATTAGTCTCGATGCAAGAAGAATTTAGTAACTAGCATGCTGTAAATTACAGAAAAAGAAAACACATTACCACTGTAGACAGATTCCGGTATATAGCCAGCAGCATCTGGAATCTGAGGGAATATGTCATTGGGATCTACAATGTCCGGTAAGGGTTCAGTGGAGTAAAAGGATGGTATGTAGGGTTGAGAAGTCGGTCTGTAAAAGGGCACATGATGAGACGACGGATCTGGACGCACCGAAGAAGATTCAATCGGGACGCGAAGTGTGCTGGCCTCAGGAGGATTCACCACATATTGCAGATATCTGATGTCGCGCGGATTGGTACTGTAGTAGGGCCCTTTGGCCCTTACAGTCACCGACCAACTGGCAGCTTTGCCCATGCCATTGTACGCCTGGCACGTGTAGACGCCCAAGTTGCGCAATTGCACCGAGTGAATGAGCAGGGAATAGTCCTTGGTCACTTCGAATTCCCGATTCTTCAATGGAATCAGCTCGTCCTGTTTCCACCAGGTTACTGCCGGAACGGGCCATCCCAGCGCGTAACAGTTTAGGGTGGCAGGAGAGTTAAATGCGGTCACTATGTTGTTAACCAACAGTTCGGGATCTTGCCCATTCAGAATGGACACTGGCCTTTCTACCGGCGTATCTAAGAACGTTAAAGCTAGATGTTAGGGCTACGCTAGAGAAAACAAATGCGCCGAGCAGTCAGATGTTATTCGGAAAAAACTTTGTTATTGAAGAATTACTTTGAAAGAAGATAGAATTAAACATTCCAATTACCACCACCGTTAGCGGGATAGTCAAAACATACCTGACACCAACAGATTGATTTGGTTTTGAATGGGACTTCCGATACTGTTATCGGCCGTGCAGAGATAAATGCCTGCGTCTGTTTTATGAAGGGTAATGATCTGAAGAGTCTGGTCCAGGCGGATGCGATACCTTGGTTGCGTGCCATCAATCTAAAACATCAAGTGAATACTCAAACTTGCAAACCATCTCGCTCCCCGTTCACTTACGATCAAGTTGTTCTTGCTCCACACGATCTTCGGGTTCGGGTTCCCGCTAACTGCGCAGTTCAGAATGGCTTGATCTCCCAACAGACCGGTCACTTCTGGCTCGTACGTTTCCACTTCGATTCTGGGCGGGTAGTCTGGAAATCATCCACTCTACCAGTTCCTTCTCATGATAGCAAATCTACTCACATTTGTCCAGTAGAGGAGCGGTAGTGTAACCGGGAGCGGTCGGTTGAGTGACCATTTCCGACGGCCGCTGAGGTTCCACGCAAACAGTACCACAATCACTAGCGCAGCATTTCAAGTGCAACGTGCAATCGGCATCCGTTCGGCATTCAGTGTCGCAACTGCTGTTGTTAGCATAAGGACAGTGACCGGGTTTGTTTTCTACAAAATCAGTGCATTCATTATGTAGCAAGTGCAGTCTGATCGATGGAGTAGTTGGTTCAAAGGCCGTTTAAAATTATATAAAGGAGAGGCAGTTTGAACGCTCCCAGACCCCTGATGTGGGCTAAACAGTGTTTTTTTGAAAATTGTTGACTGCTAACGCCACTGTGGTGTGTAGTGGTAAGGAAAACGCTGTTTTCCTCGGTTCAGAGTTTCAGCCACACGCTAGCTCACATCAGAGCTCTAAGGCCTGGTTGCACAAAAGCAAGTTCAACGATGGTTCAACTGAACCGTCAGTGACCGGTGAACCGGAGTTCAATTTTCACGGGTTGTACCACGCCGATCAGCGCTCGGTTCGGTTGAACTCGACTATTCGATTTTTTCCCTAGGGCTGGCACTTCCCAATGTCGATGAAATGTGGTATATTTGGTTCTCTTTGATTGGCAACTGTTTGTCAGTCCAGCATATTTGAACTGAACCACGTCCACATGGTCTGATACTGAATTGATTGAAGCGTCAGCATTAAAACATATTTTTCCTTAGTTCAGTAGATTCAGTGAAACCTTTTCATTACGGAAGCCATTACGAAATCTGCCCGGTCAACGAATTTTACGTCGAAAGAAAATATTTTGCTGGCTTTAGTCAAAAATATGAAACACATATCGAGTGTAAAAAACAGATGCAAATAATAATAAAATATTTTTTATTTATTTTCTCCACTACGATCGTCGTAACTTCTTTCGACAATCTAAATCTAAATTTAAAATCGCGATCGTTCCATTGCAGGAAATAATTTGGTCGCTCCCTATATGTTGGTGATCTTGTATTTAAAAATGTTCTTAGGAGCTCCACAACGTCTTCATCGTCTGTTAGTTCACTCAACAGATCCATTTTCACAAAAAAAATTTTTATATTTATAAACACCTATGTTATGTAAACATAAAATTAACACCGTAAGCACCTCTAGGTTACAATATGACAGTCTCGGCACTGAACCACGGTTCAACGGCCGATGTCAGTCGTTCAGCTGGACTGGGATTTGATCTGCCATTCAGGCTTGAACGCGACTGAGACATCCGAAAATTTTCGTTGAACCAGGTTCACCGCTGAACTGTCGGTGAACTAGGATTGTGCAACCGGCCCTAAACGTGCTCAAAATGCAAGTGTAAAAATATGCGCCTCCAAATTCAGCTGAAAAATGCGTTTCTAGTAATACTTTTATTACGCATACAACAAATCCCGTATTCCTCGCCTTACCTTCGCGACAAACTGCAATAAAATCGGCATCAGTCGCTGAGGTTTTGTTCCTGTTCAAGTCGATGCCGCATTGGGTTCCGTCAGGACAGTCGATGTCCTTGCATGGGTCCCGACATCTGCACCCATTGCAGTCATTTTCATCCACATACGCTTCAATGCCATATGGACACCTTAAGGAAGTGCATTCATCAAACTTCGCTTGGCATTCGTGGGTTCCCACACCAGGTTCCACAACAGCTAGTTGAAAAACAATTTGAATGATCTATGAATTCAAACTCGCCAGAAACTTTGTGCAAAAATGAGTGACATCATCATAAATTCTGTTAAATGATAGAGGCTGATCATGCTTCAGTTTGGAGTTGAATCGTTTCAATAGCTGATGAAGATTTAATGATTAAGGTGCATGGATGCGGCGTGGACGATCGAAAAGCCACTTACAAGATTCGGTGTTAGGCAAGAAATCTTTACAATAGTCGAGACAGGTTTGGAAGGTTTTGAAATTGTTCTGATTGCCCCCACAGCCGCTATAGATAAAAGCTTTACATTCGCCTTGGGTGTTATCAAAGTACCAGCGCTTGTGGTTAAGATCCGGACATGAGCCCTGGTCGGCCGCTAACTGGCACACTTCTGAGAGAACGGAAAATTAGCGGCTAGTTCGCAGGTAGAAAGTCACAGGAGGTTCCTAGTTTTGATTCAGTTTTATTTACCTGCAACTGTTGGAACCGCTTTGGGTTCTTCGCGACGCCCGCAATGCCGCTCACATTCCTCCACTGAATTGAACCGGTTTCCGTTTCCTTCACATCCTCCGTAGACAAACTGTCTACAGCTTCCAGTGGTTCTATCAAAAGTGTATTTGGTTTGGGCCTGTTTGCATGGTCCAGGATCACTTTCCATATTACATGTATCTGAAGAAAACATGGATAAAAACCATCTTTATGTCTCCAAGAAAAGGGTTATCGACCCATAGGTCCTTCTGCCAGTGTTGTGTAGAAAAAAAAACAAGTGTCAAAAATTATGTATATTTCGTCATTTGTGCGCGTTTTAAAGCGGTTTATTAGATCGATTATATAGTGGATTATTAAGTCTCATTTTTGTCATCCGTCTTCTAGTGTAATGTAATGTGTCTGTATGTGCTGTTTAGTTTTCTCATTTGCGTTATATTATAGTACATACATACATTTCCTACAATGTACGTATATTTCCTGACTGTCTTTTCCTGATTGTGACATTTTAAATGTATGCCAAGGCTTAAAGCAGCAACAACGCTACACATAAAAACTGATGATGGTGAAAAAATACACCGAAACGTATTTTAATTGATAAATAGAGACAATAAATGACTGAAACGCAGGAATTGATTTTGATTTGGAGTTATAGTATAGTATAGTCAGACAGAAAAATTCGGAAATAGTTTGCGTGGAACATTGTTTAAATAATCATGAAAGGGCGAAAACCCGTTTATTGTACATAACTTTTGAACTGCTGATGCTATTGAAAAAAAGTTTAAGACTTTTTCAAGTATTAAAAATGCCTACAATATGAGACAAGCGTTTATCAAGGACAAAATCCGTTCATTTTTTACTCAAAACAGGAAAAAACCGCCAATTTTTCTCGTTTTTTTTCAACAACTTTTTCTGAAGGTTTTTGTACAGGGTTACTGATGAACTTTGGCCACCCCGTTTCAGCATCTGATTTGAAATTTATAGAAAAATGTTTAATACAAAACTTGTAGATGCTAACGTCTAGTTTATTTTAAGGTAATACCTATTAATACAGGGTTTCTCAAATTCAAGTGGCAGACCAAACTTACCTTTTTTAAATGGAATGCCGTACTTTTTATTGCATATTCCAGATATTCCTAAAATTCTAGGCCCATTCCATATAAATATTCTATAGTGATTTTCAACTGTGAGTTAATTACCAATATTGATCGAACTATGGCCATTCCGTTTTTGCAGCTAATTTGAAATTTAGAGCAAAATATTATATACAAAAGTGGTAGATATTGACATCTAATTTATTTTAAGATAATAAAAATTGCTACAGGGTGTCTCAAATTAAAATGCCTGATCAAACTCAATTTTTTATAAATGGAATGCCCGAATATTTAAATGGTTATGAACTCAAAAACAGTTGAAAATCAATACAGAAAATGTATATCCAAGATGACTGGAATTGTGCGTATAGTTCGAATATTAAATAGAAAGTGCGCGAGTCCATTTAAAAAAATGTAAGTTTGTATCACCACTTGAGTTTGAGACACCATGTATCAATTGATATTATCTTAAAATAAACTAGACGTTAATATTTACAACTTTTGTATTTAACATTTTTCTCTAAATTTCAAATTAGATGCAAAAACGTGGTGGCCAAAGTTTAATCAATAATGGTTATTAACTCAAAAGCTGTTGAAAATCATTAGAAAACATTTATATCGAAGAGGCCTAGAATTGCGCGAATAGTTCGAATATGCAATAAAAAGTGCGACATTCCATTTAAAACAAGGAAAGTTTGGTCTGCCACCTGAATCTGAGACACCCTGTATCAATTGGTGTTATCTTATGTTATCAACTAGACGTTAATATCTACAGCTTTTGTATTTAACATTTTTCTCTAAATTTCAAATTAGAGGCAAAAACGGGGTGGCCAAAGTTCAATCAATAATCCTGGACATTTTACAAGTGATATAAATTTTAGCTTAAAATATTCATCACTGTTGGTTCTTTCGTATTTGTTATGTAAAGAAGGCTTTTGCCAGATTCCAAATAATTTTTTTTGGGACGTCGGAGATATTTGCGCAAGAGTCTATTTTACTTATTTATAAGTAGTTAAAAGTTAGTATTAAGTATATAGTATTATAAAGTATTAAGAGTTATACTACAACGTACAATAAAGGCATTACTAAGTTGATTACTGAAGGGTAAACTGTTTAAACATTAAATTGAAAATCAGGAATTTTTTATGTTAAGTTAAAGGGTAAATTATTTTCAGATCGATTACTTAATTGGTATCTTTTTTGCAATTTTTAAGTGTTTAATTATTGTTCACAGCAAATTAAAAAAAATCAAAGCAATTAATCTATGTGGAAATAATTTACTCTAACTTCTAACATTAAAAATTCCTGATTTTCAACTTAATGTTTAAACAATTTACCCTTCAACTTTCAATTTATTCTATGTTGTAGTATAACTCTTTACGCGTAAAATAGACTAGAAACTTACTTAAACTGGTACTTAAGAGCCGTTTTTACATAACAAATACGAAAGACCCAATGGCATGAATATTTAAGCTAAAATTTATGTTTTTTATATTTAGGAAGAAATTCCAATAGACCACGGCTTCAAAGCCCGGAAAACATTCCTAAATGTAAAATTTATATTACTTATAAAGTGTACAAAAGCCATCAGAAAAAGTTGCAGTACGATTTTCTAAGAAGCAAAACTAAGTTAATTATAGAAAATTAAAAAAACGCAAACATTAGCGGTACATTTCATGATTTTGAGTGAACAAATGAACGGATTTTAATTTAGCTTGTCTCATATTATAGGTAATTTTAATACTTGAAATAGTTTTAAACTTTTTTCAATAGCATCAACGGTTCAAAAGTTAGACGCAAAAAACAGTATTGCGCACTTTCTTTGATTATTTAAACAATGTTCCACAGCCCGGAAGTCCCCCGCAAACTATTGTCCCAATATTCTGACATCCTTTCCATCAGCTTCCAATAATATTTTACCTTCATTCTTTTAAAGTCTAATCTGGCTGGACATGGAGTAGAATCATGCCATTTTAGTTTCGGTCAGAGTTTGGACTTTTTCTGGTTTCCAATGCTTTAATCACTAAGGTTTTGTGAAAAATAGTTCACTTGAGTGGAACTCACCTTGCCCGTTGTATGGTCCACAGCGTCGAAGACAATCCTCTTCACTGTAAAAGCGGTTCTCATTGCCTCCACACCCTGTATAAATGAACGGCTGGCATTCCCCAGTGACTCTATCGTGGTAGTAGGCCTGGTATTGATCAGTGCAGTTTCCAGCGTCTTGGTCTTCGTAACATTCTGAACCATAAACGACAATTTCTGCAAAAAACTTTACTTGTCAAAAACAGGGCAAAACACAGGGTATTTCATAGATATACAACAAACTTCTGGATACATCGAAAGAGATATAACCGTTCGAAACCATTCCTTCAAAGTCACGACGAACTAAAAACGCGCAAATTCAAACACTCACCAGTTTCATTTTAGCCACGCTTTGCTTTCAGTTCAAAATTGCTCAACATTTTCTGGAAAGAGACTGGAAGCGAAACTTTCAACACACTTAATGGAAAATCCAACGTTTCGAGGGCAAAAACTGCTGAAACTTTTTGTTCGGTTAGTTTTTCAGAGATACGTATTTTTTTCTAACCAAGTGCCTTGAATAGAAATTGCAAAGAAAATCTCGCTAGTTCAAATATTGCTCAAGAAGCTCCGGGAAACAAATTGGAAGCGAAAGGTTCAACACATTTGATGGCTAAAACTGCTAAAACTGTTAGCTCGAATATAAATTGCAAGACTTAAACGAAAAAGTAAAGTAAAACTAAGTCCCCAAGTGTTTGTAGGTATATTAACGAAACACCCAGTAGGCACAGATTCTTACGTGGAACTGATGGTGGGCCTTGCGTGGTTACCGCAGGCTGAACAGCTGGAGGCAGCGCTCGGATGGAGCCGCAATACTGAAGACATAGATCTTCAGTTTCAAAGTTGTTATAGTTGCCTCCGCAGCCGCCATAAGTGAAGTTCTTGCAGGTGCCATCCGCTGTATTGTAGTAGTAGTGAAGTTCTTCGTTAGAGCACGGGCCTCGGTCCGGTTCCCTTGAGCAGATCTCTGAAGAAACATGTTCGAATTGGTTGACTGATGGTCTCGGCTTTGAAGCACGTTAAAGGATTCGGAGAGTTTTTACCTTCCAGTGTTGGTTGTCTGGATGTAGGACTAGGTACCTGTGGTGTAACTAACGGTACTTGAGTGGGCGGGGCCTCAGTTTGCCGCCCTCCCACAGCCAATGGCGGCGGCTGCTGGGAGCCAGCGCACTCTTGTTGACACTCTTGTTCGCTTTGGAAGTTGTTTCCGTTACCACCACATCCGCCAAAGTAAAACTGACTACATCTCTTGTACCTGGTGTCCCAATACCAACGACTCACATAATTGCCGCATTCCCCAATATCCGCCGGTAAGTGACATGTGTTTTTAACTGTGTGCATCAAGTTAGATTATAACTAAGTTAATTCATGTACTGTTACTTACTTATCCCTGGAATGCTCAGATGACTAAGATTGTTCAAGTAAACTTGCGAGAAATCAGTGCTGAATTTAGAAGAATGAGAGGTTTTTGGTAGTAAAATCTGAACACATTCCAGGGCTATAAGTACCGCCATCCAACTTACCGATATCGTTGGGACAGTCGGCAAGGCATGCATCTTTAGTATCGAAAGTGTTTTTGTTACCATTACAGCCCGTGTAATAAAAGGGCAGGCAACGTTCCTCATTAGCACCATAATACCACTTAGCCTCTCGAGCCGTGCAATTACCCTCAGCCTTTGGAATCGTGCAATAATCTAACATTCACCAAATTGCATTCTTACTGATTAATCGGCGAGTCTTATTAAATACTACCCCATCCACCCTAGTTGTCTAGTTGGTACGACTACAGTGCAATGCGGTTTCAACCGAAGAACTTACCTCGTTTCTTTCCAGGCGTTGCGCATCGTTGATTGCACGCTTCAAGGGAGGCAAAGTTGTTGGTATTACCTCGGCAGCCTCCGTAGCTAAACGGCTGGCACTGTCCAGAAGTCTTGTCAAAGAAATAGCGCCGATACTGGCCCCTGCATGGACCTTCTGCTTTCGACTGATCGCATGGATCTAATAAGAGTAGTTTTTTCGCCCTTATATGACTTAAATAGCAGGGTAGTTTGATAAGTCGGTGACTTTTTGAATTTCCCGCGCAGTAAATGAACAAAAATCATGCAAAAAACAGCAAGTATCACTTGAACAAAGAGGTTTAGTTAACTATTTTCCTGAATTCAGCTAAGTTTATATATACTTATTACTCAGTAAACATCCAGCTTTTTGATGGTTAAAAAACTAGCTGCTACTGTTTGCTCCTTTTTGGCCAATAGAAAAAAACTGCTCCATTGTTACGACTGTAAAACTGCAATCCGTCAAAGATCATCACCAGGATGTTTAAAAAAGAAGCGGGAATATTTAAGGACGTGATTTTTTATGTCATTTCATGAGAAAAAGTTGCCATAAACATAAGTCCGAAAGTACACAGTTGCCAATAGGCCTGGGTAACACTGTGTTGAGTTGCGCTTTTGAGTTGTTGCCGCTATCTGAGTTAATGAGTTATAACTCATCGGTGAAAGAGTCATAACTCATTTATTAAGGCGGATTAAAGCTGTACGAAACCCTAGACTGAAATTTTAACATTCGGAGTCTCGTTTTTTCAGCAACGGAACTGAGCTACTGAGTACTAAGCCATTTGCGCAGCACTGCTCCAACACCTGAGTTATACACTGAGTTACCTTTCTGTAGAAACGATTGCTTAAAATTGCGGTTTTTTTCTGGTTTTTGGTCTAAAACGAGAAAAACCAGATCTCTTTTTGGAAAACTAATTTTTTCGAGAAAAAAAAACAAGAGAACTTTGGATTTTGTCCCAAATTCAAAGGTAAAACGGGTATTCGAAAAAGACACCAAATGAAGAAAAAGAAAACCAAACCATAAATACGCCCAGTTTTCGATTCAAGGACCTTCAGTTTGCCACAGTTTAGAAATACATATTGACATAAAAGTGAAGAAACCGGAATTAAAAATAACTAAATTATTCGCAGCGACGAAGTTGGCGAATTTTCCAAATAATTAATTATAAAGTTGCGTTTGTTCTGTTCGGAAAAAAAATTGGGAAAAAACCCAGAAAAACATATTTGGGTTTTGTCCAAAATTCAAAGCTACAAAAATTTTAAAAAATCTTTATAACTCGGTTAAGGAGGGGAGTGTCCCAACATAATGTATATGATAATTTTTCACAGAGAATACCTGAATATTGTCAGTGTTTGAGGGTTGCGAAAGAAAAACTTTGCTAAAACTGGAAAGACCTGATATTTTAAATAAACTTTAAAATCCTTCAGAGCGATGAGGTTAGCGAATTTTCCAAATTATTTTTTGTAAACTTTTGCTCTCTGGTCATTTCTTCAAGATAATCTTAATTACTTTGGAAAAAGTAAAAAAAATTATTTAGTTTTTGTGCCAAATTCGAAGAATTTTTCTAACAAAATTGTGTCGTTTTTGACTGAAAAGACCCCATGGTTGTCAGAAAAGAAGAAAAGAATCTGAAAATAATGAATTTTTTGCGGTTTCGATTGAAAACTTTTAGTTTTGCGATCGGTTTTTCAGAAAACCTTAATAATTTTCTGTGAAAATTAATTTTTGTTTTTGTCCCGCATTCGACGCTGAAAGGGGATTTTGTAAAATTCCTTCAGATATAAATTTATCTCGTAATATTTCGCGTAAAATACCTCCAGATTGTCAGTATTTTTAAGTGAAACTTTATAAAACAGAGCGTTTTTGAATATAAAATAAAGCAAAACAAATTAAATCAAAACAAAAAATTCAGTTTTTAAACTAACTCTACATCCAGTCTTCAGAGAGATGGGGGTGGAATTTTTATAAACTTATGTGTTATATTCTGTATGCCTTCATTCTGTTCGCTTTTTAATGAAAAATTAGTTGATTTTTGTTCTAAATTTGAAGCTGGAAAAAGATATCAATACTTTTTACGAAACGACGAAGGAGGCGTGATGTAATAAAATTTATTTTGAAATTTTTCGCGACAAATATCCTTAGATTGTCAGTATTTTTACGTGAAACATTAGAAAAATGAGCGATTAGAAGAAACACTCACTAACTTTGCTAAAACTGGAATATTCTGAAATTTTGAAAAACCTGAAAATATTGTTAATAAATGGCCCTTAAAATAAATCGAAAAACAACTTAACAAAAAAGTCAATTTTTTGCCATCAACGGAATTGAGTTACTGCGCCGGTGCGTTGGGTTGGCGCAACTAGCAATTTTCGCAGCATAGCGCCATGCGCCAACTCCTAAAAATTCACTAAGTTACCCAGACTTAGTTTCCAAGATACAGGGTGTTAAAACGTTAGTTTTTTCCTTATAACATATAACTTTTTGCTAAATAATGCCAATGTACTGTTAAAATTTGATATTTAGGGGTTTTTGGATTCGAAATTTTACATTTATATCAATTTAGGTCTAACTTGTAGAAAGGCGCCATCAACATTACTTAATTTCAAATGAATGTTTAGCGCTGTTTCGGCGCAATCCGAACGAGTTTTTGCGCCATTTCGTAACAGTTGACGAAACATGGATCAATCACAACACACCAGAGACGAAAGAAAAATAAAAACAGTGGTTTTCTTCAGGTGAACGTGCACTAATGAAGGTCTGTCGGAAGACGAGGTGGTGGTCAAAGTTTTTTTGGATGCACGCAGTGTCATTGCCACATCAATTACCTTGAAAAGGGTAAAACGATCACTTTCGCATATTATTCAGATTTGGGATAGATTCGATGTTGACTTACGACGGCTAAAACGGCCGCATTTGGCGTCCTGATGGAAAAAGTGCTTTTTCATCAGGACAAAGGACGAGTGCCCACGTGTCACAAAAATCCATGAATTAGGCTACGAACCTTTACCACATCCAGCATTTTCTCCAGATTTAGCCCCCTGCGACTATTTCATGTTTCCAAACCTGAAGAAATGACTGGGCGGTAAGAGATTTGGGTCCAATGAAGAGATCATCATTGAAATGTCTATTTTGAGGGCCTTGAGCAATTCTGTTATTTGGAAGGGATAAAAAATTGGACGTAGGACTAAAACGTTTTCTTGGCCGAAAATAAAATATTTCCTTCAAAAAGTCAATGACTGACATCAAACGACATTCGTAGTTAGGATTGAATCCAGATCCATCCTGCTTACCTGCAGCCTCATTTTTAGCGCAAAGTTCGGCACATTCTTCTCTCGTTTCGAACTTGTTGTTGTTGCCCAGGCAGCCTCCATAGACAAACTGCGAACATTGATGGGCTTGTTTGTCGTAGTACCACTGCAAAAAGTACCCTTCGCACGAACCGTTGACCTTCGGCAAATTGCACCTTTCTAAAAGCAGTATTATCAATGTTAGAACCCGTATAAAGCGCTCTGATATCAACGCACCAATTCCCAGAGGTTTGACGCACACGCCTTCGCATTCTTCTTTGGTTTTGAAGCGATTTTCGTTTCCATCGCACCCTCCGTACCAGAATCGTGAGCAGCCACCATAGGCCATGTCGAAGAACCACTTGACTGTGTAGTTTCTGCAGGTGCCGCGTTCCTTAGGCAGAGAACAAGATGCTGCAAGTAAAAGCAACAGTAAGCCATTTGCATAAACATTTTCCTGGCAAGGTACCTTGTTGGTCGACTGGGATTTCTTCACATCCGGCAAAGTCGCTTCCTTGGGCTTTTGTGACGCCGTCCAGACAGCAACCGTGCTTGGAAATGTCGCAAGTGCAACCTTCTTCGTTGGGTCCTTTTGCTGCCGTTCTTTCATCGGAACAGCACCCGAATTCGCTGGATCTGCAGTCACATCCTAGCAAGAAAATAGCAGTAAAAATTCACTTGTTGAGTCTTCAAAGCATAATTTTACTACTTGTCTTACCGACGCACCCATGTTTGCGGCATGAAATTAATTTAGGAAGATTTGCGATCAAAGCTTGAAAATTTTGGGTCAAAATTTACCTTGCTGGTGTGGCCCTTGAGCAATCGATACGCCATCAGGACAGCAACCGAACTGGAAGGTATGGCATGGGCAGCCCTCATAATCCGGAGCTGAAGCTTCTGTAACATCATCAGGGCAACAGCCGTGTTCACTGTATTGGCATCCACATCCTGCATTGTTGTAGCCTGAAAGCGGCCATTGAACTAGAACTGTTTCCAGCTGGAATCGACACCGATTCAAACCTTTCGCCGCGGTTTTCTGATCTGGGCAGCATCCATAGGGAGAACTTTGGCACTCACATCCATCCCCATTGGGTCCTCGGGCAGGAGTGAGATCGTCGGAACAGCAACCGAACGTCGAAGTGAGACAACATCCTTCGCCTCTATACCCATGAGCTGGCGTTTCTTGGTCGGGACAACAGCCGTAGGTACTGTCGGAGCATGGCAGTTTGCATCCTTGATATTGAGGACCTGGACAATAATTTCTAGGAAACCTTCCGGTAGGTGCGAGTAAGATGTATCACCTTTCGCCATTGAGCCATCTGGGCAACAGCCATGGTCAGATTGTTTGCATTCTTCTGTTGATGGAGTCGTACTGGGCACAGTGGTAGGCTGGATGGTTGTGACTTCTTCCGGTTCGCAGCCCTTTTGGTTCGGACCTTCTGCTTCTGAATTGAAATGTTCAATACACCAATAGATTACAGTTTAACATATTTTACCAGTGGAATTATCCTTGCAACATCCCCATTTGGATTCCAGGCAAGCAGGCGGTTTGGCTGGACAACCTTCTTCGTCGTTACCTTCAGCTGGCGTCTTCTTGTCCCAACAGCAGCCAAACAAGGTCTCGTTGCAGTGGCTGCTCGGGCAGCCACGGTTTTTGGTCCCTGAAACAAGTAGGGGTTCGATACGGTTTTCGAACATTCTCGCCTCTTATGCATACCAAGTGCGGCCGACACTCCATCCGGACAGCAACCATACGTTGACTCTTTGCAGGTTTTGGGCGTTGGACATCCTTTATCAAAGGGCCCTTGAGCCGCATGAATGTTGTCCCAACAGCATCCATAGGCACTTTCTTTGCATTGGAGAATCTTCTTCCTCTTGCACATCTTTTGCTTCTTTTTGAATAATTCGGTAATGTGCGTCGTGGGCCAAGCTGGAACAATTGGTTAGTCATCAACTTACTCCATTACATTCCATGGCATACTCACTGGGTGCCTCACTGGTTGAGGAAAATATATCAAACTCAGTACTCCCGGTGTATTCTGTGGTTGCTTCAGGGGAACCACTGACTTCTGTAGTGGAACCACTCACTTCCGTAGTAGAAGCGCTGACTTCCGTAGTAGAACCGCTGACTTCCGTGGAAGAACCGCTGACTTCCGTGGAAGAACCGCTGACTTCCGTGGAAGAACCGCTGACTTCCGTCGTGGAACTTTCACTGGATTGTTCAGTAGAACTGATTGTGGTACTTTCGCTTGTTACGCTCTCGAAAGCTTCCTCAGTGGATCCTGTTAAGGACTCGGTGGTTGACACTTCAGCGCTGGTCTCGGTGGCAGGCGAACTGATTTCTGAAAAAAAAATCAATCAGAAACAACTATGGAAAATTATCACTCTTCCTCAGCACTCACCGGTGGCTTCAGTGGTTGCTTCGCTACTTGAGCCTGTTTCGCTTTCGTCCTCCACCCGAGCCCTTGGAGGCGGAGTTGAGTCTGGATCTGGTTCATTTTTAAGTCCCATCTCGTCAGTTTCAGTGCTGTAACTTTCAGTGCCTGTCGAGGCTTCAGAGGTTTCACTACTGGCTGCTGAGGTTGTTGACGTCTCACTAGTGGCTTCTGATGTTTCAGTCGTGCTCACACTCTCAGAAGTGGTGGAAATTTCAGTTATTTCAGTTGAAATAGTTTCTGTGCTGCTCAGCTCTGTTGTGCTGCTGCTATCGACTGTTGATTCCGTGGTGGAGCTTTTGTCTGCGGTAGTTTCCGTTGAGGCAGATTCTGAAAGAATCATTTATAATTGTGGAGAAACATTTATCGCTTCTTGTTGCTTTTAGGTAAAAGGCTCCAGGATTAAATTAAGAAGTCTATTGCTTTTCAATACCTTTGCACCGACATGTAATGCAGGCCCTTTCGTTAATATAAGGCTCGATTTCGTTTGAGCATTTGAGAATAGAGCATTCGTCGAAATCTGCCTGACATTCATGCGGCCCTAACTGGTCGAATGGCGTGGCTACAAGAAAAAGTATTCCACTGTTCTGTCGAATGCGTTTTTTAGTTGATTGAGTGAACACGAACTTCCCCGTCCAGGAAGAGTTGAAAATAATTCACCGGACACAGGAAATGACCTTTGAAGAAAAGCCAAAACAAAAAAATTACCTGAAGTTGACTCTCCTAATGTGCTACTGTCCACTTCAGTAGTCGTTTCAGTGCCCTCAGAACTGGTGGTACTGGACAAGTCATCCCCAGTAGATTCTGTGGAACTAGAAGACGCATCAGAAGAAACTTCCGTGGATCCGCTTGCAGTACTGCTGGCGATAAGATCCGTCGTAGTTTCGGATAAAGACCCAGTAGATGAAACTGGTTCAGTTGCGTCTGACTCTTGCATAGTTGGGCTAAAGAAAAAAAAATATTGTAGTCAGTCGTCTGTTGCGTTCCTCAACATCTACCTTGTGGGTGAATCTGTGGACTCTGGCGTTTCAGATGCTCCAGATCCTTCTTCAGGTTCGATGGAGCTGGATGTAGTTGTTACCCCACTTTCTCCTTCTGCTGAACTCTCTACAAACTCGGTTTCGTCCCTCGTAGGGCTATCACTCTGCATCACGTCATATACCGAGTAGGACGTTTCCAGCCCATCAGTGGTGCCAGCGGAAGTGGATTCCACTAGTTCTGAGACTTCAGTTTCTTCTTCCTGCAAACGGACGATGGATTATGACTAGGATTAGCTACTGGTTTTCTAACGCGACGTTTTCTTACCTCGGGAACACCCATGACCGAAATTTCCACCCATTCCCCATCGTCGCACGAATCTGCTGGCACGATTTCGAAGTCATCTTCCTCCTCTTTGCTTGATTCTTCGGCCTGAGGCTCAGTGGTGAAGTCGATGCTTTTAGTGATTTCCGATATATCAGAAGACGAGGAGGTGTCTGTTTGGACAGAACACTGAGCATACAAATTCGCAGGTAGTTTGCCTAGTTACCTTCAGTTTCCTTATCTGTTGCAATGGTCGATTCTGCTGAGTCCATGCTTTCGCTCTCTGTTGTTTCCTGCAGCTTCAGGGGAGTGTCCTTATCGACCGGCAGCTCTGAGTCTGCAGAACTTGAAAATAAAATCGCTGCTGTCCAACTGAGAGAATTGCATACCTTCAGTGCACGGTTGCTTGTTGCAGTCCTCCTGTCCAAATATGATCTTGTCGGCATCGCAATGCGACACGTCCACCACTTCATTGGCTTTGATGCAAACGACTTTCTTGGTTCTTTCACCCACTCCGCAGGGTTTGGAGCACTGAAGCAGCGGAGGAGTAAAATCAGAGTTTCTGATTGGGTTGGATTACCTACCTCGCCCCACGGCCCGCTGAACCATTCCCCATCACAATCCTCAGTACCGGTGCAGTTGCGGATGATGTCAAAAGTCTTTGACTGGTCACATTTGTCGTTTTCCACTTTTTTCACCTCGTCGCCTGTTGCCAAGCCGCAGAAAAGGGTTCTGGTTTGGATGCCCTTGCCACATCTTGCTGAACACTGTGAACAAACAATTTTTTAGAGGTTTCGCGGGTTTTGTGGATATTTTTATGTAAAATGTACCTCGCTCCATTGCGAAGCATACCACAAGAAGTTGCAGGTTTCATTGGTGTTGGCCTCACATTTCCTCACGCTTTCCGGTTTGTTGCTCTCCTCACACAGATCGTCTTCGAAGATTTGCCCGTTGGCTGTCGCGCAGAATATCTTCCGGGTCTCGTTGGTAAGGCCGCAAACAGAGTCACACTGTAAAATCATTATTTATTTCAAAACGCCTTATGGATGGATTTTCCGGACTAACCCCACTCCATTCTGAACTGATCCAATCCACTCCTTCACAGGGCCGACTGAAGCAGCTCTGCTCTTCGGCCGGCTTATCTTCAATGGCTTCGCACGTCGAATCTTCCATGATTTGGATTTTGTCATCCGCGTCCCTAATGAAGCACCGTACTTGACGAATTTGCTTTCCATCGCCGCATAGATGATCACACTAGAAGACAAGAAAAATAATTTGATTGGCTTCGGCATCTTCGTCTTTTTGCTCAGGAAAAATTCGGCGCTGATACATTTTCTGAATGGGTATTTGGGACCGTAAGGTGGGGTAACTTAATATCAAATTTTGTCGGATAACTTCGCTTGTCCAAGGGTTATTTACCTATGAAATTGTTTAAAATGTGGATATAATATGCCCAGTTATTTTGTCTAAAAGACTAAATATGTCCCGTTTTAAATTAATTTTTTATTTTTTTTTAGTTTTAAATGTTTTCATGTCGAAAAGTGGTAAGTTGCAACATGCCTCAAAATTACAAAAGAAACAGTTTGGGACTAGGAATATCTTATCCTGACGAAACAAGAAAATCTATTGAGGGCCATAGTTCTTATAAACAAATCTTTACAAAAAAACTTCAATGATTAATCATTATAACGCAGATCCCAACGAATGGGCGTAAATCAAACACTTCTTAAAAACAGTTTGAAATATAAGTTGAAATAGATAGTCCATATAAACTAGGTTCAAATAAAACTACCTGCACCAAAAGTAAAACAGGGACTTTGTACATTTCCAGGGCATTTAATCCTATCGAAAATGCTTTATTCGTTTTTTTGCTAGAACATCAGTTTTAAGTTAGTTTTTGAAATATAGGAGTAGCATACGATCTCCGGTTCCTTATACGCGTTTATATTTCTATGCTTTGCTTAGAATAATAGGTATAAGAACGAAAAGAAAAGTTTCGTAAAATTGAGACTTTTTTAATAAAAATCCTCAGCAAAAAAACCTTTTTTCATTTCTCTGTTGCAATAAGACTGTGCGTACAATGAAACTTACTTAGATGATAAATCGTGTGTCTTCCACTACTTACAGTCGTGGTAGCAGGCAAAATATAAAAATAAACTTACGGGTGACCAGGGCCCAGAGTGCCAAGTGGCACAAGTTACCCCCTTATTGCACGTTTGCTGCTGAGGCGGTTTTGGGTCCTGGCATTGCGATTCGTCCACTAAACTCGGGTACCCATTGGAGACGATTTGCTGGCAGGATATTTCCCTGGTCTGGACTCCACCTGGCATTCGAACAGTGAGTGTTTATTGCCACATTCACTTAATCTTGCTAAAAATTGTTCAACGCAATATTATTCTTCTGCAATAAATTACCTTCTTCGCCACACGGAACTGAGCAGTTTCCCCATGGATGTGGAACCCATTGAGCATCGCAGGCCACTTCGTTGCATCTTCTGGAAGTTTCCGGTTTTCTCGATGCGTCGCACAGAGTCTCGTCCACTGGCTCCAGAGTTTTCCGGCCCGCACAGGAAACGTTCCGGTGCTGAATTCCTTTAAGGAAACACGAACTTTGTAAGCTTATTCTGGATTCAACTGGGAGGATTTACCTCCGCCACAAGTAACGGTGCATTGAGTGTACTCGTCAAAGGTCCAGGCGTAGGTTTCGTATTCCGACCCAGGCTGGATGTTGGTAGGCAAGCTGTACTTGTACTGAACGGGAACAGTGGAGTCTTGGAACAACAGCTGGAAGCACATTGAGGATAGACAATAAATTGGAGGTGGGGGATGGACGATGGCTTACCACTATAAAAAGAGGTTCGTCTATGGGCCCCAAAGTGTAGATCTTGTCAGGAGCAGCGAAGCCCTGCGGGTAGCGCTCATAGTGAAACTTGCTGCCGGCAAAGTCCAAAGCTCTGGGGAAGTCAATTCTCCAGTTTCCATTCAGATAGTAATGTCCGGAGGTATTTCGAACAGCTACAGAGCCAAACAATAAGAAACCCTGTTTCACGAGAAATACTGAGACGGACTCACCCAGGTAGTTGTTTGAGTTTGCAACCTCCTCGACCACAATATTGGTCGCGCCACCAGGAATCAGCAGAATGTCGTTGTAGCCTAAAAGGACGACTCAGAACCTCCAATCACTCAAACTGCCGCCTCAAACTTACCGACTTGCATGTCGTTTAGCTCCAAAGTGTTAGTCACGGTGTTGCAGGTGCTGCCGTCGCCTCCACATATCCGACACTCGTCCTCTTTGAGATTGGAGCCCAACATCATGTCGCACCCTACTGGCTGAAATCACTCTCACAAGTACCATCCCAACCTGGATTAAATCCCACTTTACCTGGCACTGCCCATTTACGCACACATCTAGGCTTTCGTCGTTGCATCGGGTACCGTCCACCACCTGTTCGGCATGTCTGTAGTAGAACCTCTGACCTCTGGGCATGCAGTTCAGTTCGCAAGCATTCGGTCCTTTAGTGTATGGCACCCATCTGAGAATATTTTCATTTCGAAACAAAATTCTGTGAAAACGGTTACCGGAAAACCTACTGGTATTTTACATTCTCGAACGGGACTTCGTCGTACTCGGAGCATTGCTGGGCTCGGAAGTCTCCAGTATCTGGACAGTCCTGATATGGAAAGGAGAAAATTAACGGAAGCCTTAAAGCGGAAACCAGCTAAATGAATAACTTCCATGAAACGTGTCATTCTGGCAAACAAATTATGGAGGCAAAATGGATAATCTCCGTAATCAAATAGCTAAAAAACTGGCATTCAATTAACTCTAATGAGGACCGCGATGGGCCGCTCGCTGAATATTTCAGCTTCTTAATCACCAATTTCGTCATGCAGACCCATAAAAATTCTTATGTTCCCCATTTGGGGCTTTATATAGGATGATTCAGGTTTAATCTTGATAACTTCGGAAACCAATAGAACAGGTGAGACTAATGTCCTTACATGACCTAAAAATATCTTCTGGTTTTTCTGCACAAGTTTTGAACCTATCATCCGATTCCCATTGTGGTGAAATTCGAAATACAAACACTTCGAACAAATGCCCCTTAAGTTTTAACCACCCAACCGCCTTAAAAAGGTATTTTGCGGGCCACCTGCCCATTATTTTGTATCAAAACTTGAACAAGAAAAATAATTTCAATAAAACGGCTCCACAGTAGGCCTGGGTAACACTGTGTTGAGTTGCGCTATTGAGTTGTTGGCGCTCTCTGATTTAACGAATTATAACTCATCGGTTCATGAGCTATAAGTGATTTATTAAAGTTTTTCGAAACCCGATACTGGAATTTTTACATCTAAAAAAAGGTCATCAACATTTTGTCTGAGTATCGTTTTACTACTTTGTTCAAACAACTAAAAAAAAGTTATCTAGATTCTCCCAGCAACAGAAGTGAGTCCAAATAAAGTGGACGAGATTTCTTGTAAAATCGATCTCTTAATTTTTTTGCATAAAATATTCAGTTTGCCAGTATTTTACAGTAAAACGTTAGGAAAACCCTGTTTTTTTCGTTTAGTGGCAGTGCGGTTTAGAAATATTGACCTAAAAGTGAAGAAACCCGTTTCCCAGAGTTTTCCAAATAAATAATTATAAACTTTCGCTTTTTCAGTTTGGGAAAATATTTTTGGAAAAATACCCAGAATTAATTATTAGTTTTGTCCATAATTCGAAGCTGCAAAAAGTTTTACAAAAATATTTGCAAAGCGGTTAAAGAGGCGAGTGTTCCAATAAAAGTTATTTTATAATTTTTCACAGAAAATACCTGAATATTGTCAATATTTTAAGAAAAACAAAAATAATGCGATTTTTGCGTAGAAGAAAGTGCTTAATATGGAAACTTTGTTAAAACTGGTTTGGTTTTGAAACTAAAATGGATTTTCTAATGTTCTCTACAAACCGATGAATGAGGCGAATTTTGAAGCAAAATTTATTTTGTAATTTTTGGCTGTAAAGACCCCATTATTAACAGAAAAGAAGAAAATCATTCAAAAATAATGATTTTTTGCGTTTTCAATTAAAAAATTTTAATTTTGTGTTCGGTTTTTGAGAAAACTTAAAAAAATTTCGGGGAAAAACGGGAGGAATTTATTACGTTTTCGTCTCGAATTCAACGCTGAAAAAAGTTTTTGTAAAATTTGTACAAAGCTATAAATTTGCTTAAATAAAACTTTGTTAAAACTGGAATGACCTGAAAATTTAAAGGAACTTTAGAAATCTTCAGAGCGATGAGGGCGGCGAATTTCCCGAATAATTTTTTGTTCACTTTTGCTCTGATCGTTTTTTTAAGATAGTCCTAATTACTTTCGATAGAAAATGAATAAAATTATTTGGTTTTTGTTCCAAATCAAAATCAATTCCTGGGCTTCAGTCATTTATTGTCTATTTACCAATTAAAATACGTTTCGGTGTTTTCCACCATCATCAGTTTCTCTAAAATAACAGATAGTTAAAAAAAATGTTTTCATTAATTTAAAAAACAATCACAGTTTGTCAACAGCTTTATCATATCACACACTAAAATACATTACAATTGCAACACTTTAAAACATTCTAAGATTAATTAGGCCTAACAGGTGATTAGTCAGGACAATCAATTCTGGGAAGAGACTAGAATTCTTTGTTCAAATACTCAATTATTTTTACTTACATGTGTAGCGTTGTTGCGACTTTAAGCCTTGGCATATATTTGGAGTATTAATTTTGTCCATTTTGCACACAAAGCGAAATACTGTTTATATTAATTTCTTTTACTTTCAGGTATTTTTCTTTGCATTCTAAGAATATTATTTTTGGTTTATTTTTTTTAATTTTGTATAGAACAAAAAATCTTGAAAAAATAAAAAATATATTATTAATAAACAACTATCCCAAGTCATTTTTTGAACCAATCATAAAGCAAAGGATAAATAAAATATACAATTCAACTAAATGGAAAAACATAAATAAAAGAG